GTCTTATATTGTTTTACGGACAATATTTTACCATGACTCCAGTAAAATGGTCAACAGATCAGTTTAGGTTTGATCATCCCAGAAACAACCACAATGCAATTTCTAAAACTTATCATTACAAAGCTCGCCTTTCAATAGCAGACCCTTCACACAGCAGAGGGGCTTTAATACACTACTTTGAGCCATAAGAAGTAATCTGAAGCGAGACTTTTTTCAATACCAACACTTGATGTTCATATTTCAGGCACCTGTCTGAGCTTGCTAGTTAGGAACACAAACAAACTAAGCATCTTTTGTTATGTAATGCTCGAACTGACTGCCTTACATGGGAAGGCCTTATAATTGGTGTCCCCATCAATTTATTTCCTCATGCTGTCCGGCATTTACCTTTGTGTTTATGAGGATAGCTTAATGCAATTAAAATACTTTCACATGGTAATACATGGGTACATTCACTGTGATATTCATAAAAATACTTGACTCAATAATGAACAAGAGTTATAGTGTTGTAATATTGCTAATACAGTACTGTACTTTGTATCACAAAAGAAGGAATCAGTCTTGAAGGTTACAAGGTCTAAACTGCCAATAAATTAAAAAAAGACTTCCTTCGCATGACAATCATGACCTACAACTACGATTTCATGTTCAAACTGAACTGTATTTAGCATCCATTACAACAGCATTTAAACCACTCTTTATTTAATCATCATTTTGGTGAATATCACAACACAGAAACTAAAATCAGTACATGCTAGTTTAATTTTATTATGTATTCTTTTTTAATACTGTTCGTATATACTATTCAATCTTAAAAAAAAAAAAAAAAACTATAGAGGAAATTCACCCATAACCAACATCCCACTGCACCATTTAGTCTGCTATTGAGAGGGCTTACTGTACATGTGAGACTTGTACTGTACTCAAAGAATGTGTCTCCTGAGACTCCAAATACTTATAAAAAAAATATTGTTTGCTTTGAGCTACATGCAGAAGCATGAGAAGACATTAGAGGTAAGTTGATAACAAGAAAAAGATAATCATCTACTTAAGTGATTAAAGATCTTTGGGAAGATTGGTTTTTAAAACAAAAATACAAGCTCAAAACTACATAAATGATTAACTAACAAAAAAGTTTATTTTTTCACTTAAATACTGTGGTTACATTTTATTATTTTTTCACGTATCGGGGGCCCTTTCCCCCTATTGTATGAGGTTGCAAGACAGGCAAATCTAGAGCAACACAGACTATCTTTTATTTACTATAATTAATTTATTCTGGCATCTGTAGCAAATATGTTCTGCAATGTGGAACTTGAAATAATATCAACTGTAATGATAACAATTACAGCTACTTGTAGAAACCCGTGTTAACTGACATTTCTATCAAAACCCTTTCCTATTTAGCTCTTTATAATTTTCTACTTAAACCAAATTCATCTGAAATGAAGCTCTCGATATGAATCATCTGCAGGCTACACCAGGACGTAATAGAATAGAAGGACTGAGATATTAAGTACAGTATTACCCCGCCTAACGCGGTTTCACTTAACGCGTTTTTTCATATACGCGGTGCCTCGCCAGAAGCGAACTTTCACTTAACACGGATTTTTTCCACATATACGCGGTGAGTGTCCGGCTCGAGACGCTATTTTTAGATTTGCCCCACGCGCCACCCGCCCGCCTGCCTGCCTGTGCTCCTCGCCTCTCCCTCCTCCTCCCTCCGCTTGGGCAAGCCGCGCGGTAAGGTTGCGCAGTGTGTGTCTTTGTTGCGTTATCACTGACGTCATATGACGTATCGGACTGTGATTGGCCATGCATCCCTACCCCCCTCTGCTGCTAGCTGTAATTGGCTTAAAGTATTATGACGTGACCACCCCGGGGAGGGAGGGAGGGAGGAGAGACGATGCTTGACCTAGCGCGGCAGTTTCATCCCTCAAGGCCACACCGTGTAAACGCGCATCCATTGTTCCGTAAAATGGCTTCCGCCGGACCACCACCGCCACCAGAGAGAGACCTTTCCTTACCTGGACCCAGCGGCACTAAGCCAAAGAAGACACGACGTTCCTTAAGCTACGAGGTGAAGTACCAAATTGTTCAAGATTTGGAGAAAGGAACACGGCAAATTGATCTCGCGCGCCAGCATGGCGTCAACGAATCTACGATTCGCACGATCAAGAAGGATGCAGCCAAGATCAAAGAGCACATGAAAATCACAAAGTCTGCAGGTGCTTCATCTATCAGGTATTGCCAGAACAGGGTGCTGGCAAAAGTGGAAAATTTGCTGGCGAATTATTTGATTCGTCAGGCGCGACGCAACATGGCGGTGGACACGCGCTCAGTGCAGGAGTACGCACGTGAGCTATACACAGCAGTGTCACGTAAGCTGGGAATTGCAGAGCCCAAACCCTTCAATGCTTCCTCTGGTTGGCTGCATAGGTTTAAGAAGAGGAACAAGATCACCAACATCAACATTGGTGGTGAGGAAGCGTGTGCTGACCGTGTGGCGGCTAGAGATTTTCCTCCGTTCTTACGTGAGATTGTGGAGGAAGGACAGTACACTGACGACCAGGTGTTTAACATGGACGAATCTGGTCTTTTCTGGAAAAAGCTACCTTCCAAGACCTTCGTTGTCCAGTCTGCCAGCAAGGTAAGGGGTCGGAAGTTGCAGAAGGAACACATCACCGTCCTGTTTACCACCAATGCCTCCGGTACCTGTAAACCAAAGTTATCGGTGATTCACACAGCCCGCAAGCCGCACGCCTACAAGAATATGGACATGAACAAGCTTAATGTCCACTGGCTAACCGCACGTAAGGCGTGGATGTCCTCTTCTCTGTCCCTCTTCTGGTTTGACAACTGTTTTGTTCCTGACGTGAAGAAATTCTGCGAGCAACAGAATGTTTCATTCAATATTTTGTTGCTCCTTGACAACGCACCTGGACACTCGCCCCTACTTATGGATCGTCACCCCAACGTAAAAGTGGTCTTCCTTCCTCCCAACACTACGTCATTAATCCAGCCCATTGACCAGGAGTTGATTTGCAATGTGAAAGCTGTGTACTCTGCAAAGAAGTTCAAGCTCCTGAACGACTCTACCAACACCAAGGATGAGTTGCGTATGCTGGGTGACACCGACAGCGAGAGCAAAAGCGACGAGGACAAGGAACAAGAGGTGGCGGCTCAAGAACTTCTCGTCAAACAATTTTGGTAGAAGTTTAACGTTAAACAAGCTGTAGACTTCTTGGTGGAGGCATGGGATCTGCTGACTATTGCTACGATTCGTCACGCATGGAGACATGTGTTGCATGGCATACCAGGTGAGAGGAGGAGTGAACCTGTGACTGGTGAGGTTCAGACTGTTGCAGTAGCAGTGGACCTTGCCAGAGAAGCTGCGCTCAATATTACAGCTGAAGGCTTCTCCGAGACCACCAACGAAGACATCCTGGAGGTGATCAGAGATCCTGAAGTGACTGCCGACGAGATGTTGGAAGAAGAACACGTCAGTGAAGAGGAGGAAGAAGGTGCGTCATTCTCCGAAGAACACAGTTTAAGTCATAGTGATATTAAGTGTGCCATAGAGTTTGCAGAGAAAATGAAGTCCGTCCTTTCCCGCGACAATGACGATGACCGCTATGAAGTCTTCCATACCCGGCTGGTGCAGGCTATGGAGCCATACATCACGGTGTACCAAGACAACATAAACACCAGCCGTCAAAAAAGCATAACCGAGTTCTTCGCCCGCAACCCACCACAGCCAGCCCAAGCCAGTGAAGTTGACTTTGAGGGATTTGTCAGGGAAGCCCTGACAACTGTAAGTGACAGTGATGGTGATTCACCTAGTAATGGTGATTCACCTGAGGGCCAGTAATCTGCCCTCTGCCTCGGAACCAGCCTCCATCCCCGTATGCCGACCCATCTCTTCTACTACCGTAAGTGTTCCACCTAACTTTTAGTTTCTCTAACCTAACCTTTATTTTTCCTATGTTAACCTTTATTTTTCCTAACCTAACCTCTTCTATATTACTTGTCTTTTCATACCATCATAAAGTTAAGATAAAATTTTTACTACAACATAGTTATGTGTCGTCAAAAAGTGGAGTTTCGGGGTCGGGCTGGTTTCTATTGGAATTAATCCCGTATGTTCTGTTGTTCACTGAACGCGGATTTCACTTAACACGGTACCCTCTGGGTTTTATTGACCGCGTTAAGTGGGGTACAACTGTACATGCAGGTTTAGAATGGCTGAGTAGGTCAGCAGTGTGAATTGTGGAGTGCAGAGTTACATTCTGAGTTGGTACAGACTTGTGAGAAGGCTGCCAAAGGTGTACAGAGGGAATTTACCAGCAGCAATTAACAGCAATATAGTAAATTGAGGCTAAGTATGAGAATAAAGGGAATAGAAAAGGTAGAAGGAATTTAGTACAGAGATAAGGTGGCCTTGAGTCTCTTAAGCAGAGGTTATTCCCTGAGAGAGGAGCTCCCATGGGAATGGTGTTACTCAAAATTTTTTAAAGAGAAAAAGGTAACTAAAACGATGCATGAGTACACTGTAATAATAAATCTTATATGCAAATGCTCAAAACTTTGTCAGTGAGTTTCCAAAGACATCGTGGTGACCAAAGTGTTAAAGAAGCTTCAACGGGGTTAATAACAATTTTGGAATGTATAGAAAGATGGAAAAACAGATCGGGAGATCCTGCAGATAATATCTTAATCTAAAGTTAAGACAGGACTTAAAATAAAGAGGGCAGATAATATCCACAAAACCAATTTCTATCCTTCATTTGCATGACATGCTCTTTCATTTTACCTGTGTCCATTCTTTAAATCTCACAACAATTACAACACTCCTATAATCTCATATCTTTGGCTCATTGTATTTTCTTTATAACATTTATTTGAAAAACTAAACAATCTAAGTCAGTTTCTTTTTTCTGAAAGAAAAATTTATGGCTTACATATTATTTCTTCCTCTTTGTTAATTATTTTCAGATGAATTCACTTCTTTCCTCCTTTCTTCGAACTTTTTTTCTTGCTGCTGCCTCCACCTCCATATTTAGTAGCCAAGGAATCCAGGAAACAATCCATTTCTGCCTCTCGCTGTTTACCACGCTTGAGAATAAGAGCTTTAAGGCTGTCTGTGGTATCACCCAGACCCAACTCTTTTTTCATCTCTTCTGCTTCCTCTGCTTCAGCTGCTGCCTAGTGGGGGCAAAGATATATACTGTAAATTAAATGTAAATACTTTCTAAAAATTATTTGTTATCCAAGTTCACATTTCTTATTGTAAAACATATACTGTACTGCATTACCTAGTTTAGAATCTGATGATACAACATTACTCTCTGAAAAAGTGTACAGTTGAAACATGAAAGTTTCCCATTTTGTTTGACCAGTTTCTCTTTCATTTTCCACACTCATGCTTTCGCCCTGTTTACGCACTCTCATTGATAGGAAGAATTATCATTATCTGAGCACATGATGCAATAAATTATCTTTATTAAAATTTGTTAAGCTATTGGTAAAAGAAAAGCAATGAACAGGCCCAAGAATAAATTTGCAATAAGCAAATACAGTATCAAAGGAAAATATAAATTATAATACCTGCTAATTAACGCTTAAGATGACAGTACATACAGTAATGTAAAGTACCCAAGAACACATTATAAATTTCTATTAAGAAGCTTGTACAGTACCTGCTTCAAAAAAATAATCAATACTAAATGTTAATCTATCAAAGAACAGGTGATGACCTTGACATTTGTGAAAGGTCATTTTCTTTGTTAACAATTATCTAAAGTGTCTGTAGAAGAGAATAAATAATATCCCAAGATGGTGGTCGTGGTGTTGACTGGGCAAATGTCAGTGATGACCTAGGGAGGTGACTGGGCCAATCAGCACCATGTGTGGGCCCTATGTTACAGCCACTCCCCCCTTCCTTCTCCAGCAAATACATCTAATTTTCCCAATACTGTACAGTACTTTTCAACAGTCTGGAAATAATTATTGCCACAGAAAATGGATTTTTGCATACATGTTGAGGTCGTAACTAATATCCACAATACCTCATATTACCATACAATTCTAGTAAAATACTCGTCCCTGGCTGTCATCAACAAGTCCACAAATTCAAGATATAGTATAGTAATGGAGACAGCACAGTGCATATAAAACTTGGGGTTGAAGACACTGCAAAGTATTGAATAATGAATACAAATACTCTGCTAAAGTATTGGTATGAATATGAATATTCATTTTTGTTATGACAGTAAGAGTTCCGAACTGTTGTACAGTGATAATCTGCTAGAGAATGTTGTTACAGTAAGTTGTAAACTGTTATATTAAACTGAAAAAGCAAAAATAGAAATTATGGTTGCCTCATGAAGGCCCATTGCATCTGTAATGTCAGCAGCGTGCACTCTTTTTTCAAAATGTTCAATCACTTTTCATTTTAATCTTTTAACAAAATAGATTTTTTTTGTCTCTTGTCATTAGCATCACTCTTGTTACTTTTTGTGATCACTGAACTTTCATGCTGGTGAGGATTAATAATAACAAATTGAGAAACAAAAGAGATTAGCTAGTCACGAAGATATGCCTGTGACCATGAGTCAGAGGCAGACTGAAGCAGTGAGCCTAGGCTGGTGCAATGACACCATGGCAAGTTGCAACTTATGTTAAACTGATAAAGTTTTCATGCTAACCTAACCTACACAGCACAGTAGTAGAATAAGAGTAAAAATACAAATACAGGGGGTTACGAACGGGTTCCATTCCTGAGAACATTCTTAAGTTGGATCTGTACGTAAGTCGAAACACATGCTATGTGCATACCATACTTACAGAACAACGTTTAAAAATGCACTATATCATAGCCTAAGTCCTTATACACATATAAAATTACTTAATTTAAGACAAAATAAAAAATAGAATGACAAAATACAGTCAATGAAAGTAAAAAATAAGTCATCAGGTAAATAAAATACTGTAATTTAAGTTTAACCCCGTTTGTATCGGCGGGCATTCCTAAGTCAGGGACCCCCTGTACATATGTAACTTCAGTATGTGATCTGGATATGAATTTTCACAAGTAATACAGCTGATCAATCAATTATGAAATGTAATGCAATATTTTGTTGCAGGTTAAAAAGAGAAAGAAAAACCAAGAGAAACTCACTTTACGTTTTCTTGTTTCTTTCTTCCTTTTGGTCTCATTTGAAAAATTACTGAAATTTGGCACCTCCTTCTTCTTAATCCATCTGTGGATTATCTTTGTGAACCTGAAGTGAAGAACATGCTGTAAAGTTACTAGAATTAATCCAATAAAGATCTACATATACAGTATACAGCACTGTAGGTGTAGTGCCGTTATCCAGAAGACACCTTAGAAACATAATAAGCAAGGGAGTAAAAAATAATAACAATCAATATATCAGTATAACAACAATTAATACAGTACAGTATACCAAAGTTAGCTAAATGTAATAGATAATTTAATGAAAGATACTGTACTGGTACAGTATATCTTATTGATGTACAAAGGTATATCTTTTTTTTTTTAAGATAAATCTACTAACCATCCACTAACACTACATACTTACCTTGCTTCATCATCAATGGTGCAGCACAACACATATTGCAGAATATACTCCATGTCCCCCTCACCTTCTATATAAGCCTGTTTCAAATCATTTAATTCTTCATCGGACTCTGTTTGCATAAAGAAAATGTGATGAAACTTCCAAACAAAAATACTGTAGTTCATTTATTTTGAAAATTAATTCACCATACTGTACTACAACATCTACAAAAGAAAAAAAAAATTATATATATATATATATATATATATATATATATATATATATATATATATATATATATATATATATATATATATATATATATATATATATATATATATATATATATACAGTATAATCATAAGTTCATACCCTTGTATTCAGCTTCAAAATTCTTGATGTCTTCTACAGTTATCTTCTTAAACAATAAACGCCAATACTGGTCCCAATCACGATCATCTGGGGCAATGTTTTCATCATCCACTTCCCCTATACCGTCAATAGAATAAACATTAACATTGTAGATACAAGGAACTAATTTTGCTATACTGTACCATTTTATAAGCAAGCTTTGACTGGACAGGCCAATTTAAGTCAGCTAGTTCATGAGTTTTAAACTCTTGGTTCCCAAGCTCAAGACACACAACTGGATTTAGTCCAAAAAATCAGTTAATGCTTCAATTGTTTAAAAGAGACCTGATATATAGTACTGTTACTATTGGAGGCTGCAAGCACTGAATTGCACCATCGTCATAGTACCAGTGAGTTTTGTGACCCTCAATGCTGTGCTAAAAGTGCCATTTTAGGGTCTACCGTCCCAATTTTGGCTCACTTTAGCAACCTCTATATTGTATAGAGGAAGGAGGGTGCCTGAGTTGCCTTATCTGTGTTTGGTTATACAGTACAAGATGATTTCTGGATCAAACCCTCATTTATGGCCTAATACCAGACTAGCAACTTGTATATCTAAGGCCTCCTAAAAGGGAGAAGGAGGCAACTATAAATTTCATGCATTAATGCAACTTCACACCCCAAAATAGAAGTCAGGTAACTACCATAAGACTGGATCTTACAAACACCTTTGCAGATGTCCAAGCCCTTCTCCAAAGTATATTTGACATAGTTTGCTCAGGAAAGCTAAATATGGAGTACCCTAAAGATCCAATTTAAGACTCTACAATGATATTGGATAGAGGATGCCAGTGTTACCACATACAGAATAATGGTTTAAATTTAATGTGCTGGTTTAATTAGTCAATCAAATTCCAGTAAAACTGAAGAGAGGCTGAACCCAGGTATGCATATAAAACTGAGAAGTGTCCAAAAATACTGTACTGTGAGGGAGAAATTAATTCTGAAAGAGCCTTAAATCTTACAAAAGTTGTGAAGTGCACTGGTGCTTGTGTGATGGCAACACTTAATGCTTTCAAGCTACAGTGGTAAATGCTGCATTCATTTTTTATTTAATTTTTAATTAGCTCCAGTCATATATCTGGGTCCTGGAAACCACAGGTTGTCACTCAATGGACAAGGTGATAATATATGATCTGTAAAATTAGAGCCAGGTACTGTATAAGGTTATAGCTTTCCTTTGTCACTGAATCTTAAAAGTTACCTTTGCATGATTTTTTTCAGACAACTTTTAAAAGTTACAGTTAAATTAATATAATAAAGGTGTTTCTTACCTGACTCATCATACACAGCACGTCTATCCTTGTCGCACAAGATAGAATAGACTTTGCCCAGTGTCTGGAATTTCTGTGTTGCCTCTTGTTTCTCATCCTTATCCACTCGGTCAGGGTGAACCTTCAGGGATACTCTGTGGTATGCTTTCTTCACTGTAATTAAGTTAGAAAATGTCAGTAAAAAATAAAGAAATTCAAATTTAATGAATTAGAAGTGTCAGCATGGCTGACACTTATTACCTGCATTTGATAATAACCATGTGTTGCTTTTCTACAGTGTAACCCTTACTGATAGCTATGACATACACCAGTGAAGTATGGTACACAACTGAATGAGATTATTCAAATGGATAATATAAAAAATAACAAAACTGACATTTACCTTTATTGCACTCTTGCCCAAAACTTCCATAATTGGTTGATGGTGAAGTCCAATTATGTTTATAATAGAGACTAATTAATGAAATTTTTGCAAAAGTAAAAACAGTTTTGTTAGCTAGAAAAAAACAACTTAAAACTCTGTACGGGGGGGGGGGGGTGGTTATGAACGGGTTCCGTTCCTGAGGATGCTCTTAAGTCGGATTTGTACGCAAGTCAGAACATATGCTATGTGCATACAGTACTTACTGTGCAGTACAATGTTTAAAATCCCACTGTATCATAGCCCAAGTCCTTATATACATCTAAAATCACTTAATTTAAGAGAAAAGAAGAAATAAAATGACAAAATACAGTAAATGAAAGTAAAAAATTAGTCATCAGGTAAATAAAATACCCCATTCGTGTCAACGGGCATTCGTAAGTCGAGAACCCCCAATCATAATATAACTTTTGCAACTCTTTCTATACACAGGAATATCTAATGATCTATTGCAAAAATTTGTGAACTGACCCATGGATTGTGGTTGCTAAGGACATAAAGTGTGTAACAAGGTTACTAATTACACTAGTTCATTAAGAATAAAAAAAAAAGTGATAGAACTCTCTGACTGAGGATTGGTTCCACTATTTAACAGAAGCAAAATGGGTCTACAGTGGCACAAATTATATTTTTCCAATTGGACATTTAACCCGATAACTGCGAGATACATTCTTGAATAATAAGTACACTATGGAATTCAAAGTGTTTTGAGTGCAGCGCAGAAATTTTTTTATATCTCGAGGGGTCAAGCACAGTATGGGATGTTTACACTCACCAGTTTCTCGAGTCCCCCAACTGAGACAAACGTTTTCTCTATCCTCCGTTTCAGAAACTGAACAAAATCTCATGCTGATGTTATTTATATTTCAAATTACGAATGAACGCGTGTTACCGCAAGATATATATACTGTACAGTGGTCCCTCAGTTAACGAACACAATTCGTTCCAGAGTCGTTTGTTAACCGAATCTATTATTTCAATGGGATATTGGGTAATTGGTTCCAACTCACAGAAAAATTACATACAAAGTACAGTACTGTATACCAGTAATAGAATTAACAAAACATTAAATACAAACTAAATTTACAAAACATTAAATATAAACTAAATACTGTATTTTAACTTCTCAAACAGCTGATTGTACAGGCAGTCGATGATGACATGCCATGTTCTTTACAGAGTGCATTGGTTCTAAAGCCTTCTTCATGTTGCATAATAATTTCTGCACTGTTTATTATCAATATGTTAACTAAATTTCAGAATGACCAATAATTTTAATGTAAAAATGCCAAAATATTCAAGAAACCAACAAAATCGATGTTCACTCCACTGTAAACAAAGTTAAACTGAGAAGCATTGTTGGGTGATTCAATAAGCTGATGGGCACACAAAAACTATTCCCTGTACTGTCTATATTATCAATATGTTAACTAAATTTCAGAATTACCAATAATTTTAATATAAAAAATGCAGAAATATTCAAGAGCAACTTTCTTAATATTTACTTCACTGGAAAAGAATGTAAACATAAAACCAATTACTGTATTGGCGGACTAGCCGATCAGCTGATGCGCACAACAAAACGTGTTTGTCGTAAGGATTTCGTTAATCGAACTGAAAATCCTTATGGGAGGTAATTCATTAACCGAAATTTCGTAAATCGAACCGTTCGTTAACCGAGGGACCACTGTACTTGCTTATAGCTGAAACATACAAGATCCATTGAGAGTGATGTTGAAAGCTTCAACTATGGAGTATTTACTTTCAGTGAAGTTGTCAAATAAGTCGAGTGTTGGGGTGAACAATAGAGGTTAGAATCCTTTTTCCACCCTAAGAGAGACTGGCAGCCAAACTAAGGTAAGTTTTATCCTCTTCGCCACTGATCGGCTTGTTAGCCGTTTGGGAGATCGGTCACGTTTCTGATTATTTTTCCTTTTCATTTATCTTTTTCACCAAAAGATCAGCTCGTTAGCCGCCCGGGTGATCGGTCACGTCTCTGTCAAGCACTGTTGGCAAATACTGGGCATGCACCGGCTCCTAAATGTACCTGAACCCGCTCCAGTGTTGGGCAAGTCTTGTCTTGAAAGAGCTCACACTCGGTGCCATCACAACACACTCTGGTAGATTGTTCCAAGAGTTTACAACCCACACTCCGAAAAAGTTTGCCCTCACAGTTTTCTGGACTCATATTTGGTTTCCACATTCTTCTACATACTATCTTTTAATCCACAAGAGTTAAAATGGTCTTCGGGGAAAATCGATATACAGTGGGTATCCAAGTTTTGCGATCGCTTCGTAACATCTAGCGGCAGCTAAACTCGTGAATCGCTAAATTCAAGCTACATTATGACCATGCTTCGTTCCCAGCCCAACGCCAATGTCCTTTTTTTTTCTTTCTTTAATTTCACCTCATCTATAGCCACAATTGTGCTACAGAAGCAACAGTACCACCACTTGCAGCATGCAAAACTGGTTTACCTGCTCTTTCTTCGCTCTCACACCCCGTATAGTAAACTCGTTCACTTCATGTAACTTAACCACTACAGTAGGACCCATACCACGCTCAAGTTTATCCCAAATCTCTCCTTTCTCCTCGAGAGCAAGCAGCTTCTTCTTACCAAGACGTTCTGGTCGACTTCCTTTCCCACTTGAAAGCCGTTTTCCACTCCCACTTGGTCCTGGTTGTATGTCAACCATTACGAAATTACACAGTAGAGGGAGAGTAGAGATCACTAATTCAAACAGCATGCGTGACTAACTGACTAGAGCTCAAAAACAATGACCGCGTGACATCACGAGTGTAAGCACATGGCCGCTAAATTAGCACGATCTAGTGCGCAGTGGCACTAAACTCGAGTTTTGGGGAATTTTAGCCTGTCCAATAAACTCTCGAATCACCAAAGTCGAGTATCCACTGTACGTGCGTTTTTGAGCGGGGGTCGCAATCGGCGAATCACTCCACTGCAGTTATTGGGTTAAAAATTCATGCTACAGTACTCCTGCCTATGCAGACTGATCAGTTCACTCCTACACCACTGTCACTAAATTGGAATAATTTACGGTGAAATATACACCAATACCCATATTTGGCTTATCATTTAGTAGCTGATACAGCTACTATATTAGCTTAAGAAATGGTGAAGAACAAGGATCTGGGCTAACCAGCTATCTAATGAAAAATATCCATTGAAGAAAACTTGTCTTATCTCAAGAATAAAGCAAATCAGGAGAAATGCTTCTTATAATATTCAGATTTCTGTCCTAGTTTTTCTTACACAGTGAACAAAGACTGCTACCTTCCTGCTGACCTTTATTAAGTGAGCAGAAGTAGTCCAAATATTTGAATGACATTAATGACACTACAGTATTCCGTTTCATACCAAGAAACAACAGCAGCAGTAGCACGTACATATAGAAATTTTTTGCACAGGCAATAATGATAAGGAAGTGGGTATTTAGCCGGGAATTTCTGGCTGGGTAGACTGGAAGCTACGCAGCCAAGAATTCCTGGCCAGGGAGATTAGACTAGACCAACCTAAGTCTCCAGTCTGCCGAGCCAAGAATTTCCACCTACGTAGCCACTTCCTAATGATAAATTATTATTTTCTTAAGTCAAGAAAACCAATTCCCCAAAGAAAGGAATTATAATATGTAGTAAGATTTGCAATTTCTGAAATATTATTATTAATTTGGCAATACACAGCATAATCATTTCTTCCATACACAAGAATACTTCCACCAAAAGTTATCATTACGTTATATTATGATTTATCATTGATAAGATGAGCAAACTAAACCTATGTGTATATTAATATTGTTAGTTAAGGTTACATTAGGTAGGTTCGTATGGAAAGGAAAGGAAGGAAAGTCAGTCAGTCACTGACTTGGATGGTCAGTGGGATACACCCCATTTCGTCGCCAAAAAACCCATTCGTCATAAAAATAATCCTTTTCGTCACAACTAACAGACCGTTAGTCACTGGTTTTCTTGATAAATTGTAAGTTATTATTTTACATGAATAGAAATTACACATGTATACAGACGACTTAAGAATTATTGTGTTATTATATATGAATATTATTTACTTAATAAAGAAAACGATTAAAGCAATGGTAAATAAACAAACTACAGAACAAATGCAGGCATATTAAAAATGTTTTTATTTTTGTTTCGCCTTAGTCTCTAATAAATTGATTTAGCGAGATGCTTGCATGAGTAATAACGTTTTAATTTTTTATTTTTGTCTTTGAGAAATTGTCTTAGTGAGATGCTTGCATGATCCAATGTATTGTTATGCCGAGGTATAATTTCATATTACAATTTTGTAAACTAGGTGTTTTGATTATTTTCTATCCCAAGCAACAGTTACTTGAGCAAATTTAATAAAATTTTCGTGTATATATTGATGTATTAATCATGTAAGAATTTCTGGAATGTACTGCATCATTATTTTGTTATGGTTTACTTATTATTGTAAGCCCCAAAGACAATTGTTGTGCAAGTATTGTGGAATTGTTGTGACTAATATAAAGTGAGAAGACTAAGGAATTGTACACTGGTAGTGTGCTGACTATACAGGCTATCCCCAACTTACAACGGGGATACGTTCCTGGACCCATAGTTTAGGTTAGGTTAAAGCCCATACAAAACAACAATAAAATAACCATATATAACAAATAATGTAAATAAAGTGATGTTAAACAAAATATAATGATGAAAAAAAAGAAAAAAAAAGGGATTTTAATTAAATAATTTTGCAGTGAATGTATTGGGATCCCATTCATAAGTGCGGGTGATGGTAAATCGGACGGTCGTAACTCGGGGACTTCCTGTATATTCGAAGTGTGGAGTCAAGCTGTGATGACATTACCCTGTTAACAGTGTTGTGAAGAATTAGTGTTTATTAAAGAAGGCTACAGTGCATACATGTGTTTCTGTGACCTGGTGGAAATCTACTGGTCTGTTGTTTGTCGGTACATACACTGATATAGATCGTTGGGAAATTACTGGAGACTGGCGTGACAGCCAGTGGTAATTCGACACACTTGCAAAATATCTACTGCTTCTGAAAAAAGGAGGGTCGTAACAGTATGTACACAAAGATAGTAAACCAGCCATTACATCTTCACTGCTTCAGTGAATACATAATGAAGGTCCAAAGCCCTTGAAATGGTGATGGGAATGAAAGCAGTGACAAAACGGGTAAAAAAAGTGGTGACGAAATGGGTAGAAAATGTGGTGACGAAATGGGCACACCCTGGTCAGGGTCGGTTCAGTCACTGTGAAGTTTGTCAACGGTGACATGCAAACATAAGTTAGGGTACCCATCTAGGGAAACTCTTACTCGGCAAAGAAAACAACTCCGTATTAAATAGCTGGGGATCCCAGCTACACAAGCATCCCATATCATTTTAGAGTTTCAATCCATACTTGACAAACACTGGAATATGTTAAGGTACATTCAGGTGCCCATGCATGCCTTGTGGTTGCAAGTGCATAACGGAATATTTACTTATAACTTGATCAGCTGTTAAGCAATGAAGATAAAATAAAAAGTTCCAAGTAACTTGTTGGAAACACCTCTCCATGTCTGATCAGCAGAGTTAAGCAACGCTGGGTCTGGCTAGTACTTGGATGGGTGACCCCCTGTTCCTAAGAACACCAAATGCTGCTGGCATAAGGACTACTGGAAACAAGCCTCTCATGACTCTGTCAGCTGTCCTTGGTCAAACTGACTGAATATCAATCATTATTTGCTAGAACTGAATGAGCAGAACATTTATGCTAATGAATATGAGAAAAACAACTATATTACAAAAATGCGCAACTAAGCCTTTTCTAAAGTATCACCAAAAATGCCATCTAAAGGGTTAAAATCAACAATGACACTGATCAGCATAATTACTGCACTATATTAAGAAATAAAGAGGTAACCCTGTCATGGGCCATCAAAAAATGTACAGAAAAACTTAATGTGAAATAAAAAATAACCACTACTTTCAAAACATTCATTATGGAGTAAAATAAGTATGCACAGTAGTGCCAGAGATGTGATGTATTATTCACTGTAACTCGCCCAAGCAAGACCCGCCCAGCTGTTTGTATCACACCTGACCGAGACTGCTCGTCTTTTAGTTCAACAACATTTTAACTGATAATTATTAACATTCATGAATTGTCCTAACAGTTTATTTACCTTCTTGACAAAAGTTGTTAATCAAATGAGATTGACACAAATATAATTAAGTTTCATAAATGGACTCCAACTTGAATGAGTCATGAGCACTTGGACAGTTTGACAACAACAAACTTACGCTCATTGTCACTGGCATTACTCTCCACACCCAAGACCTTGTACAGGTCCTGTGAAGCAAACAACTCCTCGCAGCTGTCCAAGAGGCCTGTCATGGCGGATTAGTCACAATATTTTGAAATATATCTTGATGTACGACGCACTACCGCCGTCGACTTTGTTGTTGCTGGAGCAGACGATTGAGTTGCGCGGGAAGTGAAGATCAAAATGAGAAGCGACACCCGTACTGCTGCAGTTCAGTACCGGGTCCTTGATAAATATAGGTAGACAAGATACACATACAGATCCATGCTGGTTCAGGATGAACTTAGATAGTGCACTGAAGTGCAGGTATACAAACAATGGTAAACATTAATTCGATTCAACAGAGGGATCACCTGAAGTTTCAGTTCCGTTAATCACTCGTACATTTACTATTATATACTAAGTTTCAAAATAGCCCAAGACAAATTTATTTAGAACAATGGACGGATTCCTACATAGGCCACTGGTCTCCTTCCCTTAACATGACTGTCTCTGGTAGGTCACTGGGTAGACAATCAATAAATAAGATTAATCTTTCCATTCATGCTGGACGACGATATATTCGTTCACTACACACAGGGGAGCTCAGAGTAGTTGAGAACTTAAGATCCCACACGTGAAGTAATTTTATTCTTTCTTTTCTTTTATCCTCACCAATTGATCAGCGGCTCGTTAGCCGCTTGGACAATCGGTCGTCTCTGTTACGCACTATTTTGAACCTTATGGTAAGTATTTCTTTAATTTTTTGTACACTCTGTATGTGGAATGGTGTGTGCATGTAATTGAGTAAAACAAAAGAAGAAAAACTCATAATTATGAGTAGAAAAATATTTTATAAAAAATAAACGCATTTCTATTTATTTTGCCCTTTCCATATGTTTTTTTTATTGAAATACAATAATTCAAGAAATTTATGCGTAACTTTCAGGGTAAGACTCAAGGAAAATGACAAACTTGGGGGGAAAATAAAATAAAGCCGTCGGTTAGCTCTAGTCGCACAAACTTCTCGCGGACTATTTTTTATGATAAAGTATTTTATTGTAATTTTGATTTCATACTCTGTATGCAGCAGTGGTGTTTTAATTATGTAACTGATAAAAATATCCCAAGGCGAAAACTAAGGCGCTCCAGTGTTTCCCTTTTCCTGTGTGGTTTTTTCTAAGCGTGTCGGACCTGTATGAAGATATTATATTTTATCTTCATGGTCCAGTGTTACTATGGGGTAACAGAAATACCAAGGAAAAGCGTGTTATGTTCTGTAGGTCACTGACAAAAAATTCCACGAACAAAATATTGACACCTGACAGTGACTTAAGCAATGTAACCACCTGCCCTGATAAAAGAGAGAAAGAGAAAGGGATTCTTACTACATCTAACATGGTAGTCCCACAAAGTTGACTGAAGAGCTCAGCAGCCACAGAGCAGTGGACATGAAAAAAAGAATTGAGTTGTAAATTGTTAAGGCGGATATTAAAGATAGATACAAAACTCTAACAGTCGATTATAAATTTTCTACAGTTTTCCATCACCAGAAGATTCAGTTCCTTGTTCAAACGAATACAAAACTGTTGACATTACGAGTAGTCCATCACAGATCAGAGTCGAGAGTTATTAAGAGTGAGGGTTGTAAACTCTTAGAATAATCTACCAGAGTGTTGTGACGGCACCGAGTGTGAGCTCTTTCAAGAGAAGACTTGACCAACACTGGAGCGGGTTCAGGTACATTCAGGAGCCGGTGCATGCCCAGTATTTGCCAACAGTGCTTGACAGAGACGTGACCGATCACCCGGGCGGCTAGCGAGCCGATCTTTTGGTGAAGAGGACAAATGAAAAGTAAAAGTAATGAGAGACGTGACCTTAACGTGTATCCTGTTTCTGTAGCTGCTGCTGGGTGTTAACGTCAAGGAGCATTTTGTGCTCTCAAGTCCAGACTGTCCCGTGCATTGCCTCTATTTATTTAACGTCAGATTTCTCCTAATTAAAAAAAACGAAACTTGAATAATGGATAAAAGCTGATAATATAATTTTAAAACGAAATAAATGCCTACGATATCATGTAATGTTAGAAATTATACGTTAAAACATTAATCTATATCAGTTGACACATGTGTTCAGTATCACAGGTTGCTCCTATTAATACAAGATAGTCTTTATGTGAGAAAAATTATATAAATGTAAACTTAGGTTTGTTTTGTCTTGTTTTGACTAAAATAAGGGTCACGTAGTGGATATTGTATATAATTGGTGTTGATATAAAATGATAGTCCATGACAAAAAATGTAAATTATTTAAAAGAATTAGCAATAAAATATTAGTATTACACATTTTTTTGCGAATTAATATATATATTTTATGTATAATGTGAAGCATAGTTCAACCCGGATGTTAAGGAGGGTTAACCTCAAGAAGTGGTTATGCGTGCCAAAAGCTCCCGTTCATGCGCTAAAGTTCATTAGAAAATAACAACAGTAAGTGCATTTAATGTGTACTAGTGTTGGTAGGAATGCAGGAGCCCCATAAATCCTTCTTGTTTGAGGTATCCTTCCCATAGGTGTGGTAGAGGACACGTGACAGAAGGAGTTGTCGCACGTCAATATCTCCTGCGGTGTGTTGTCTGGATGTTAATATGATAGTTTTGTCAGAAGTACATAGCCTGGTTACCCGAACATTACCATAATCAACCTTTGTTAAGTATAGTGTCATATGTGTAAATACCTTTCAGTGGTGACTAAGGTAACTCAAATTACTTAAATATGTTTTGTCCTCGGGGTGATGGTGTCAAGCAGCATGATGGACACAGCAGGGTATTATTTTTTGTACCCTAGAATTTGAACTTAGTTGTTAATAATAAATTTGGCTTTGATTAGAGATTAACATTTGTTCGAATTTTACATATTTAGTGTGATAATTTTATTAGGTACAGTACTTTATTTTTTTGACACAACGTCCAGACTGAAATTGGTTCTAAAATGCCCACCTCTGTTAAAGCCAATAATCTTACTACATAATTGGTTCTCTACTCCCCAGATAAAGTATAATTGGATAAAAAGGTTCTTTAGGTCAATTTGCACTGTTGACCAACCACGGCTCTCGAGTTGAGCCTTGTGTTTTTCCTGTTTAGACAATTTTAACTCTTTTTCTATGACGTTTCTCTTGCAAATGACCTGAAATTACCTAACATAACAAGGGGGCTCCATCCCTCTGGAAGCCCTAGTATATTTAACTTAAATATACTTTTCTCCTGTGACATTTCCCTCACACATGACTTAAATAATTTAAGTCATGTGTGAGGGAAACGTCATAGGAGAAAAGTGTCTTAAAATTGTCTAAACTATCATAGAAACACTGTGGTTGGTCGAAACTACAAATTGACAGTTTTTATGGCTTCAGCAATTACATTACTATTATGTACTTCCAAATAAATACCTGGTAGTTTGTCATTAGAGACAGTAATTGGCAGAGAATGTACACTATACTCTTTCCACGTTAACTTGGCCCGTAAGCCACGCACCTCTTCTATGCTAATAGCCGATTGGTTCATAGAAAATTCAAACTAAATGTGTTCACAATTGGTAAGCAGACCTTTTATTATCTAATATAATGTTAAATGTCTGGACTATCAAAATGCAAATCATTTCAAGGCATTAGCACTTCAGACAGGATGTTATAATTTTTTAAGTATTTATTATAAAAGGTCGATATTAATACCGCTTATATACATGCATTCTGGGGGGGAGGGGAGGAGGTAAAACGCTCAGGGGAATTAATCAGCTATTTGTAGCTATAGACGAGGGGCATGGCTTACGGGCCAGGTTAGCGTGGAAATACTATACATGCCATGAATATTGCCAGATAAGGAATATTAATTTTTTAATAATAACCTTAATACTGTATTAAAAATGTTTGGCTAATATTTCACAAACACTAACAAATGAGCCTAAATTATATGCCGGTGTTGGGTTATAAGCCTGAATTGTATACAGTGGTCCCTCGGTTAACGAACACAATTTGTTCCAGAGGGTTGTTCGTTAACCGAATCCATTATTTCAACGGGATATTGGGTAATTGGTTCCAGCTCACCGAAAATTACATACAAAGTAAAAAAAAATGCAGTAAAGTACACTTACTTTGAGGTGTGTATGTAGAAGGCTCCTGGTTGATGATACTGATGTGAATTTGAAGTGGGGGGTGGAGGAGGAGAAGGGAGAAGAGAAGGAAGTGGGGGTGGAGGAGAAGCATTTTACTGCTTCTTGGAAGGCGAGTCACCTTCCATAATAATGTCAGGAACCTCTGGACTAACAGGTTCTCCAACAGGAAAATCCTCTCTCCTTTTTGAAGTGGAAGGCTGAGGCAAAGCATCTTTCACCCGCTGCCTTTTAGAGAAACTGTAAATTTTTGGTTGTGGGGATTTCTCCTCCTGATCATTAGCTGGTTCTTGAAGAAGACCACTTTGTCCTCAACAGTACACAAAATAGGTTCTGTTGTTTCCACATCAGGGTGCCTTGAAGCCAGTTTCCTGAACATCTCCCAGTGGTGAACATTAGAAAACATATGGTCAAATGCCGACATGCCATATTCTTTCCTTAGTACATTTGTTCTAATGCCTTCTTCATGTTTTCTTAATAATTTCCTGTTTCAATTGAATTGAAATCGCCTTTCTCGATTTCTTTGGACCCATGCGGGATTCAATACAGTAATTTCACCACTAAAATTTTAAGTTCACTAGCTGTAATTAAAGATTATTTTATTTAAATCAACACTGCACTGCACTATAATTATCAATATGTTAAATAAATTTCAGAAAGACCAATAATTGTACTGTAAAAACGTAAAAATACTCTCAAGAGACCCACAAGCAAGATGTTTCCTCCACTGTACAGAGAGTTTAACAGACGCCTTGGTGGGTGAGTGAAGTGGCTGATGGGCGCACCAAAAACTAGTTCCCTGTACCGCTTATATTATCAATTATGTTAAATAAATGTTAAAATGACTAATAATTTTAATATAAAACTTGCAAAAATATTAAAGAGCACTACCTTCTTGATATTTACTTCAATGGAAACGAATGTAATCCTAGAACCGATTACTGTATTGGCGGACTAGCCTACCAGCTGATGCGCAAGCCAAAACATGTTGTCATAAGGATTTCGTTAATCAAATTTTTGTTCGTTAACTGAATTGAATATTCTTATGGAAGGTAATTCGTTAACCGAACCATTTGTTAACCAAGGGACCACTGTACCAGTGTTTAAGGAATAATTACCAACTAGGCCAGTCTAATAAACAGATTAGGTTAGGTTCTTTTAGTTACCAGTTTGTTTTTAATTCCACATTCTCCCTTTGCTTTTTGAGGCCTTACTCGCCTTTAGTGGAGTCAAGATTGATAGGGTAGGAAGGGTTAAAACTCAATAATTATGCTTTTCTCCAAACTTTTATGAACAACTGTGTTCAGCATGAGAAACTGCATTAAAAATTTTGTTCTTCTTGCCTAAATCATTTGCTGGGGTTTGTGGAATAATTGTAACTGTTAATAAGTGTTCCTTATTGTATAATTTTTATGGACATTATGGAAAATTAACTAAGAATTATGAGTATGTATTTTTTAAATTCTCAAAAGGAGGAGCTATGGTGTATTTTATTAATACATGGCAGTTTGGAGACCATTCATGAGATCAGTCAATACAAACTAATCATATTATGAAATAACTTAAGATTGTTGGAATGTAATGGCTTTGAGTCTGTGATACTAACTGTTTATGAATGCAGGTGGCAGGAACCATCCATACCTAACCATATTCAGAAGTAACGAAAGATTGTTATTTCAGGTTAGGTTATATTTAGTTGGGTTGTGTCATGCTTTCACAAATTATTGAATACCATAGCCTTGTAACCAACATGTTTCAACAATGTACAATGGAGATTTTAGGATATGTTCTTGCCTCCACTGAGCCGACGAGTGGATCATGTTAATCACAGATTTGTAAACCAACGTAAAACAACAAATTGCCGGTCATACTACCACAGTGTTTGCATTACTGTACATGGCAGTCCTTAGAAAAGTGGTCAGTCAAGAACACAGATCAACCATAGTCTTAATCTATGGAAATATTCTCTCCATTGGCAGTGGATGCAGTTGATCTTAAACAGTATAATAGCTCCAACACATCCTCCCTGGTAAACCATGTTAATGTGGTTAATTTTAAAATACAATATAGTAATGCCTTGTAGGTGTAAACTGCCCAGGGCTATACCAACTTATAAACATTTAAGGTCAAGTGCATCAGAGCATTGCTCTTCTTTTAGAATGAAATTTCTTCATTGTTTTCTTTAATTACCATATAATAATCATGACAGTTTTTTCAAAGATAGTGGTAAACTTGTCCATTAGATCTACATTTTCAACTTTATAAATGTTCAGTAATATCAGTAAGGAAAATATTTTCTTTTGAACTAAATAATTAGGATAATTTTGTGAAAATGTATTTTATACCAGTAAATCTTGGAAGGATTAAATGTATTTTTATATTGAAACTGATCTATACTTGTTGGAATGTAGGGAGAACTCAGCATTTTCATTATGCTGTGATTTTTTTTTTGTTTCTATAAATCTTTCAGTGCAGAATGCATTGTTAGTACTCATAAGTTGATTGAGTTTTCCCTTATTTCCACAGGTATGGAGCAGAATCGAGAAACAATTCGACTGAATTCTGTACGCAGGATTGACCCTCATGTGGTACAGATTATGGACAGTGCCAATCGAACTGCACTGTACTCGTATGAACAGGGTGGAGAATCTTGGGCCAAGACAGACGTAGAGGGTACCTTGATGGTCTACTCTCGAGTGGCTCCACCTCATTACATGATCACCATCATTAACAGACTGAACAAATCCAACTTCATTGAGCCCCTCTCATCTGCCTGTGATATACAAGTCAAGCCTCCTTATCTCCTCTTCAGGAATGCCAAAGCTGTCATATATGGGATATGGTTTTCAGATGCAGATGACGTACAGCGTATAGCAGGTGCCATTCTGGAGCACATGAAGAGTGAACCTCCACCTGCACCTCAGCCTGCCCCAAACATAATGGCTGACCCTGCCATTGCAGTAGCTGGTGCACCTGGTGGGGATATTATGAGCATGCTCTCTCGTGCTCATGGAGAGTTTGAAAGCAAGCGTCAAGAGCCACGTAGCATTGTAAATACAGCTACAAGTGCCAATAATGATTTGGTTAAGCCAGCACCTTTAAGAGTTCAAGCCGGGGAGCAAAACACAGTTGCTGATTTCTTTGCCAAAGTTTCGGGAGCACAGGCTGGTGGAGGAATGGGGGGCATTGGAGGCACTGGCTTGCATTCTCCTTCTGGTTCGGGGCCTCCAGTTTCAACAGCCAATTCCTCATCAGGCACTAACCCTGTGTTACAGAAGTTATTTCAGGGTGCAGCGGCTGTTGGTGGTCAAGCTATGGTGCAACTTCCTGCTGGGGCACCTGTGCAAGTCCAACAGGGAGTCACTAATCCTATTCCTATTCCTGGTTCAACATCACAGAATCATCCATCTACAATATCATCAAGTGTTCCAGGGGTAGCACCTATCTCCCTGCAAGAGTTAGAAGGACGATTCAAAGATAATTTGAGAATGTCAAACCAAGTTAAAGAAGAGGATATATCCCATCTTAATCAGCATCAAAAACAGCACGAGACATATACCCAGCAGATACCACACTCTGAGCCATCTCTACTTTCACCACAGGTATTTACAAGTTCACGAACTTCAGACCCCACTATGAGTAGTGGAACCCCCCCTGTCGACTCCACTGGTTCCCGCACCTTCCCTGGCCTGCTAACCCCAGGCACCACGGCAGTCATGGATATGAGGCCACTAAATGGATCTCAAGAATCCCTTCATGATGGGATAATTGGTGGCTCTTCACAAGTGACTCCTTTGACACAGGAACAGTTGGTTCAGGCATTCACCCTGCTCCTCAAGAAAGACGATTTTGTTAGACAATTACATGAAGCATATGTTCAGGCTCTAAATCAGTCTCTCAAGGGTTGTTTGTAGGTAAACAACAATATAATCGTAGTAAATTTGTGTCATTTGGTTTTCCATGTTGTGCTTTTGCATTCTCATGTAATAGTGCTCATTATAATGTGCATTCATGACAGTGAAATGTAATTAAATGGTAGTTATCTGTCACATCAATATAAAACTAAATGAAACTTATATTTTTAGCAAAGTTTTACAAAATATATACAGAATGATGTGTGGAAGAGGATATTAGCTTTTTCATATGCAGTGTAACACATGTCTGTGAGTGTTTTGTGTTGTGTCTGCAGTAATGGAGAGGTAGAAGGTATTGTAATTGAGAGTTGCTATATAGACTGACATTTTGTTAATGGAAATTCTATACTGTAATTTATTCTGCCTTGTCAGTCATTTGTGGCACAAACTTTTTCAGATAACTTGGTAAACAATAGTTAGAAATACACTATATTCATGTTAACCCTGCTTATACCCCGAGGAAAGTCTTTAAACTGTTTTAAATGTGTATTAAAACTGATACTTATTGAAGAACATTATTGGCAATATGTATGGGAATGAACTCTTAAACTGCCCAATTCATTTCCTTTTGCCTTTGGTAATATCAAGGCTTTGTGAGGATATACCTGTACTATAGGTTTATGGATCTGTGACTACTTTTTACACACAAAAAAAAATTATTGTTTTAATAACTCTGGAGGCGACTTTTAAGAATTCAGTCTGGCTTAATTCTTTCTTTAGCAAAAAAGTAAAAGCTTTTTTTACAAACTTTTGTTTGAGTTTCAATATATGCATGAAGCTCTTTTATTTCAAATTAACTTTGAGAATTGTACCTGACTCATGGTATTCTAGGAAAGGCATTAAAATTCTTGCTTTTTTACTTGCAAAACAGTTGTTGTCAAAGGTGTTTTTAGATTGCAGTATGCAATAATTCTGACTTCAGACATTATTTGCATTTTTTATTCCAAAGAATATATTTTTGATTATCATGTATATTACCGTACCGGTTAATAAGATCCTTCAGTGTTCCGTTACACTGTAAAGTGATATGATAAATTTACATATACAGTATATTATGACAAAAATTATTTTATTGGGAACATGTACAGTATACTGTAGTGGTCAATTGTTAATTTTGTTACACTTTTTCCTTTGTATTGTTATGGTTATAAAAACTGTTCCAGGTCTGTATGATTCTTTTCCAAAATGTATCATTATATTTTCTTCATTACAGTACACATACGTGCACGTGAGTTACTGTTTTAGATGCTCCAAAGGTTCTTGATATTTTTATTATTATCCCCCCCCTCTCAAATAACACATTTCCAATCTGGAAAATTTAAGTACAGTATAAACCATAGGAAAAAATCGAAGGTATAACATCCTTGTTATGACTGTAGGAAACAAAGTGATCAAGCAACATTTCTAAATAAATTTTTGCCTTCATGCAGAAGTTATAAGAGCTAATATATTATTTGTGTACTGCATTCTAGCTTGACATCTGTAACGAGTTCATGGGGATAGGACCAGCATTAGGGAATTCTTCGTAGGATTCCGATAATTTTTTATTTTATGAAAGCAGTGGATATGTATTCTAAGAGATTATATATTTTATGAAGTTCAGTATTTACCATTTAAAAGTGTCAGCTGTAGACCCTTACTATATTTCATCCGAATCTTTCATTGAACAAGCTGAATGTGAGAAATTAATGACTGGGCTAAAGATTTCTACTGCTGGTCTCGTCAGTACATGGGTTCCAAGCAGCTTACCATCTGAGACGTTGATGAAGTCTGAATATACAGCTATTATATAATGTACAAGTAAACTGCAGATTATCAGAAATAAACTTGTACGATGTAATGCAGTCTTTTTTCTCCTTGACTTTCGAACAAGAGATTGTTTTGGGTTGCACATTTTAATTCAGTAGTTACAATTATTGGTATGATTATTGTTAGTAAATTAATAGAATGCTGTTTAGTAAACTAATGGAAGGGTTGTGATTACAGTGAAATTGTTCAATGTTATAGAAATTTTAATGTGGGAAATTTTTTTTGAAAGATTCAGTTTTTACCTCCCAATGCATGTACTATCAAGCAAAGTAAGTCATCTTGACAACATCATTAAACTTAGTACTGTATTGCTATTGGTATTTGCAGTGGCTGTGATAATTATGAAGGATGTGTAACATTCTTGTTAGTAATTATAGTTCTGAGAATCAACCATGAACTTTACTAAATTAGAACTAAATAGATTATTTTTACGAGGAAGATTCACATTATTTCCCTAATAATAGGTACTCTCAATGGTGGGGTCACATGAGTAGAACAGTTATTGTTATTGTATCTATGTAACTGACAGCAGCATAACTCAAGAATTGAAAAAGCTACAGTACTTGTACTCGTTATAAGCACTCATCGTAACAACCCTTAAGGCTTCTCTGCTCTTGGAGTCAACAGGTTGAGGTTACAACTTTGTAAGACATTGCCTTGTATCAGCACCAAGTTTAAGTACTGTACTGTACAGGCTAGTTGTACTTAAATTTGGTAAATTTAAGGTTCTCTGTAAAACGAGTTCATAAAATCTTCTGATTAGTTAAACTTGACAAAATAACTACATACTGTACTATAACTGATTGTTCAATGCCATCTTTGATTAAGGATTGATAGGGATTAAGTTTGTAGAGTAGGTACAGTACTATATTTAAAAGATACTATAAGCAACCAAATCTAGGGATGCTGTATGCCAAGCAATAAATTGTCTGAAAGGAGTTGATGGCAATGGTAAAACATTTTAGATGGGATTGTTAACCCCTTCGCTACAGGGACGCCACATTTAATACTGTATTTTATTTGGCTAATGCCATACGATTTTATTCAGCGAGAGGTGACCCCATACACAAGTGGTTAAAAAAGTTAGTTATAATGAAAATACTGTATGAGGTTATATTTGAGAAAGTACTGTATGTATTGGTAAAATGTAGGCTGAGGGTGTAAAGTAATCACTGATTTATATATTAAGGATGGTGTAACACAAATTTATATAGTTTTTGCATTGCATTTACCAACAAAAGACCATTGGTACAAATCATAAATACTGTAATGAATTACATTACAGTGTTTGTGATTTGTTGATCAAGCAGTATTTTTTTTTTGCTGTTTTGTCCCTAAGACACAGACAAATATTGATCTATTGCATAATGAGCCGTCGTAACACCATCTACACTATACCCGCCTCAATTCGGCAAAAAGGGGGCTCTGAGTCACTCGAATTACTGAAAAATCAAATTAACCGATTTCAGAAAATGTTCACATTATTTGAGAAATTAAAAATTTTTGTGTTAGATTATTCCAAAGATTGTTCCTCATTATTCCAATTAACAAACATACTCAGTTACCATGCCTTGGCTTCCACAGGTATTTGTAATTACTGTACTGTGTAAACAAATATATATTTTTTAAAATGTACATACAGTAATAATAAAGTAAATAATACAATAATAAATAAATGTAACACATTGCATTTGGAATAAGAGGAAGTTAGCTGAGAAATGGACCACAGCATCCAAAAAGGGGGTTACAATTTTGAGCCACATAACGAGTCTACACTTCGATATTGATTTGGAATCGTTGTGAATACAGTACATCAAACTCCTTAACAGTCACACGTATGCATATTGCAATCTTAAGTAAATGATTTAAGTGTGATAAATATTTAAATAAACAAAGTTGAAACAATCAGAAATATACTGTAATGGTAAAATCCTCTTAATCCAGACATTATTTATCTACATTTCTGCTTTATCCGGACTGGCAAACCACGCCAGACTAACTTCTGCTAATCCGCATTAAGTTAGGATTAACACAAAGTAGTCTGGATCTAACCTCATGGTGGCAAAAATAAACACTTTTGAATCACTATCCAGCAGTATAATATACTGTATAAAAATTTTTCTTGTCCTTCAAGTTAAACTCCTTTTTGGCCCTCTACTAACTTCCTTTTGAAGTTGATTTGTCTTTGGAAGCCATGGTAATTAGTCCACAAAGTCACAAATAGTCCACAGGAGTTAAGAAATGCACACACGAGGGCTGTAGCAGTGTAGCTGGCTTGTAAATAAAGCAGCTGAGGCTGGCGTTTGTGTGCGCCAGATGTCAATCCGGATTGCCATTTGGATTTTTTCAGTTAATCCAGACTTTCCGGATTAAATATACCCCCTCCGGAAATCGATTTATCCAGACATTCACCTAATACGGACTGGATTTCCCCAAATTGGTGTGAATTAAAAGGTTTACTGTAAATTACTCATCAGAATTAAGAGTTGTAGATTAAATTTTTCATCTTGATTTTTGTATCAGTTATACTTTTCTGCTTTAAAAATGATGTTTTTCAAGGTTCCTTTACCAACCTTTAGCAGGACAAAGGCTAAAAGCTCAATGTAAAATGTGAGAAAACTTTGATGATGTTTTGATTCAACCTGGTTCGTTTTTAAGTCCACTGATTCTAGTCAGATGAATATGTCAACAAACTCTCTTCCATTTTAAGTTTTATTATCAAGGTGTGTCATATTATGTTGGGTATAATTTATGTAGCACATCTGAATGAATTATAATGCACTTTGTACCACAGATGCTTGGGAAAGTGAATATTTTGAGGGTGATCGCACCTCCAAGCCGACTGGGAATTTGCTGCCTGCATTGGTCTTCTAAGAGAATCAGGAGCAGTTTTATCGATTATTTCAAGGCCCTTGATCATCACCATGTTCGTTCAAGCCCTGTGATACCATGGAATGATCCAACCTTGACTTTTGTCAATGCTGGTATGAATCAGGTTAGTATAAAAACAATGCACTGAAGTACAGTATACAGTAGTGCACACATACTGAATATCTCATTCTCAATAGGATCCATTTGTTGCAATAAATATATATAATTAATACCGTGGTCTTTCTTCTTACAGTTCAAACCAGTATTTCTCGGGCATACCCAGAGAGCGTATCCTTGTGCCACCAGCAGCCAAAAGTGCATACGTGTTGGTGGCAAACATAATGACCTCACAGATGTTGGAAATGATTCTTACCACCACACGTTCTTTGAGATGCTTGGAAATTGGTCATTTGGAGATTATTTTAAGGTACCTGAGTGTAAAAATATTATGTTGGACTGTCAAAATTTAGTTTCATTTGAATTATTCGTTGTAATATTTTCTTTTAGGATGGACATTCTACTCATCCATACTATTTGAATTTTAATGAATAAGAATATAATACTGTACAGGGTAACTAAAAATAAAAGTTACATACATAATAAATAAAAAATTTCATAAACAGTATGGTGGTGGGAGTTATAGTACAGTACAGTATACTGGGTTGGCGATCCAATGGTCCTACATTCAAATTCCTATTAAGGAGACAACATGTGATTGAGATCCAGTACCAGTCGTATATCACCATTGGCTCATTGTAAAAGGCCAACTGGCTTACAATATATTCAAACCATACAAAATATATACCTGTCCAGTCTCAACTTGTCTGTGATATGTGACAGTGACACCAGGCCCATGTGCTGTATTGGGTTGACTCATAGATTCATGGCATTCTAGGCAAGTAGAGCTTGAATAACAGATTACCTTGTCAGGTCACACACCCTTATGTGTACCTCTCCTAGTCCATAATAATGTTAGAAATGCTTGAAGTATAAGCCTTGAGTTATGGATGGAAAAATATTTAATTTCTTACTAATACTGTACTGTATTTTATCTATAAACTTACAGAAAGAAGCATGTTCAATGGCCTGGACACTGTTGACAGAGGTGTATCAGCTGCCACCTAACCGTCTGTATGTCACATACTTTGGAGGAGATGAAACTATGGGCCTTGATGTTGATAATGAAGTGAAAGATATTTGGAGATCATTAGGGTATTTATCCTCCATCTGTTCCTATGTTTACAATCAACGTTTTTTAATTTTATTTCAAGTGCTGTAGAACGTAAAGGTAATTTAATTTTGAAAGCATTCTCTTTTCCCATTTACATGTGGTTGAACATTAGTGTAAAACCTCATTAGAAATACTGTGCTAAAAATTATATCAACATATCAGTAGTGTAAACAATGAATGAATAAATAGATAATTAAACCAACCTATACTGTCAAGTAATCAATACTTAAAAATACTGTAATATCATTCGTATTCTGGTTTCATAAAGCAAATGTTGATTATTACTAAGAGTGTAAATTCCATTTACATTACCTACTTGAATGATAATTAGTTCCTTGCATGCATCCACTGTGTACCATCTTATCACTGCATACCGTCTCACCAATGTGTACCATCTCCCAACTGCATACCGTCTCACCACTGTGTACCATCTCACCTTTTTAATGTTTTCATCTTATCTGTGATCGTGAATACTCTCTCAGTACTGTGGGAAGGATCAAGAGATACAGAAGCCTCAAGAAAGTGGGATATAAATTGGAAGAGTAATGCACAATGTACATGACAGGAAACAATGGGAAAAACCGAAAAAAACAAGTAGAATTAGCCACATAAATTAGCTCATAATGTTTTCTGTCCCAATCTATGTAGACCTTCCATTTCTACTCTCCAATCCTATTTTCCCAACACTAAATCCCATACTTCAAACTATTGTCTACATTTCACACAACCATTGAACTGCTATTACTTACCTACAGTAAGATAAAAGCAAAAAACTGTGTCTGTTACAGGACAGGAATGTATTCCTCTGATGCATTTAAAATACAGTGAACCCTCACTTAACGCGGTTAATTCAACCCACGGCGGCCCGCGTAAAGTGAGAAACGCGTAAAGTGAACAACATAACATCTGGGATTAATTGAAATAGAGATCGGGCCGACCCCCAAACTCCACTTTTTCAGACACAATACCTACGTTGTAGTAAAAATAGCTTCTTAATTTTATGATGGTATGCACACACAATTAATAATTAAGAGAAATATCAATAATATTAGGTTTTTTAACACTTACATTAGTAGAAAAGATGGCTGAGCACATGGGGGTGGGGGATTGGTTCCGAGGCAGAGGGCAGATTATTGGCCCTCACCTGTATCACTTGTATCAATTGTATCACTATCCACCACAGAGGCTTGCAGGGCCTCTTTGTCAAACCCCTCAAAGTCCATATAAGTCCATATCCTCACTATCATTATCACTATCACTGACTTGGGCCGGCTGTGGCGGGTGGCGAACTCGGTAATGTTTTGATGACTGGGCGACCTTGTGCGCACCCTGCTCGCGCCGCTCTCCGCGTAAAGGGGTACACGCACCGCGGAAAGTGAGCATTCCGGTTTCGGCAGGGTACCGCGTAAACGTGGAAACGCGTAATGTGGTACCGCGTAAAGCGAGGGTTGACTGTATACATATTGTTTCCATTTTCTCTTGGTTAGTATGTCTTACAGTGAAGCATTGTTACAAAAATTCAAACATTTTTCAGGGTTGCTGACAACAGAATCATCCCTTTTGGGATGAAAGAAAATTTCTGGGAGATGGGCATGTATGGTCCCTGTGGTCCTTGTACTGAAATCCACTACGACCGCCTGGGACATTCATTAGCCTCAGACAGAGTCAATCTGGGTGTGGAGGATTTAATAGAGTTGTGGAATGTAGTTTTCATTCAGTATGAAAGTTAAGTTATATGTTAAAAAAATTTTTGTTTTGTTTTAATTTTACATGTACCGTAAATAAATTAATTCATGATTGACATAAAAGTTTTTACGGTTATTATTTATATACTGTATAAATACTAATTCTAGGTAGTGAATACCTATGTATTTCATTTTCCAAATATTGAGCGATATCCCCTTTAGCCGGAACAATTGGTGCAGAGCACTGCCGGTTATGAGAGATTTCCGGATAATGAGACGACTCTCTCAGAGCTGGAAAAAATCTCTCATCCCCGGAATTTCCCGGGTAAAGGAAAAATTTTCTCGGAAGTTCGATAAATTGACCATTAGATCATTTCTCGAACCCGGAAAAATATCTCATCCGTGGAATTTTCCGGGTAACGGAAATTTTTTCTCGGAATTTCCAGAAAATGCGCCGGATTTTCATCTCTCAAACCAGGAAAAAACTCCCCCATCCCCGTAATTTTCCGGAAAATCGTTCCCAAAGCCGGAATTTTCCAGAAAATTCCGTCATTGGGAACGATTTAATGAGAAAATTTCAATTCCAGCTATTGGAGAGTTCCGGGTTTGAGGGATTCCGGCTAAGGGAGATATTACTGTATTTCAAAGTGTCATATTCAAGTTGAATGCATTTTGTTCATAAATTTACCTTTAAGATATTGAATGTTGTAAATCACAAAGTTCAGGCTAAGAGTATATGTTATGTGTAACTCATAACCTGTAGTACTGTAGTATGTGTTACAGGTTGGAGAACTAATTTTTACAATCCAGACTTTTATAGGTTAAAAGATGGCAGCCTGAAGAGTCTTGATACTTACTATGTGGATACTGGCATGGGCTTAGAAAGAATAACAGCTGTCTTGAACAACAAAATATCTAACTATGATACAGATCTCTTTATGCCCATTTTTTCTGCCATAGAGAAGGTAAGTTTGAGAAGTAAAAATATGTAGCATGGTTTTGGGCATCTGTTGTCAGTTCCCAACTTAATGTGCCAGTTGATATACTGTACAGTACTGTACATGGTTTATAGTGCAATTGTCTTCTCATGACACCAAAAATTCAAATTGCATGATTTTTGGTTTGCTCCTGGATGGTTTTGCATTAAAGAATCAGTTTGACCCTCTCTCTACCTGGCTGAGCGGGAAAATTTCAAACCGTTCAACACCTGATGACAAAACTTTCGTCATCCAGTCAGCAATATGTTATGGTTAATTTTCCACTCGTAATTTTGGGTAAATATACAGTACGTAATATTCTTAATGTTTTTTTTTTTTTAATACTGTTACATGCACATATCCTACATTCAGAATATGAGAGAAAAAAAAAGGTCAAAAACACAAATGGCATAATAATTTTTTTTTATCTCTGGAGTTAGCCTGCTGAGTGGAGTATGGGATCTCAGCTGCTCTGAGTCCTCCTGTGTGCACTGAAATGAGCGACAAATATTTCATCATCCAGCAGCGAGAGGGTTAAAAGAACAGTGTAAAAATCATATTTAAATAAGTTAATTCATACATGGCAAGAAATTGATTTCATACAATTCAAGAATTGTTAACTATGTCCTGTGTAAATGTAAAATCTCTAACCAAAACTAGGTGGATAGATATTTAGTTTCAAATAATCTTGTAAAAGGAGCCTATCAGACACCCAGATACTTAGTTCATATCATTGATATACTGTACAACATAGAATACTGTACTTGGCATGTATTGAATCAATCTATTCAAGATATTTCTGCATAGCAAAATTAATAAAAATTGCAAATATCTAAGAGTTAACATATACCTGTACTGTACAACTGTTTTGGGCAGATGAGCGGTAGATCAGCATATACGGGAAAATTCAGTGAAGATGGTCGTTGTTTAGATACAGCCTACAGAATCTTGGCAGATCATGTGAGGATGTTTACAGTGGCCCTTGCAGATGGCATGTTTCCAGAAGACAGGTAAGAACAGGCTTTATTTCTTGTCGTTTTTGTATGCTGGAGTGGGATAACACACATGTGAGATTGTCTTCTCCCCAATATTTTACCCTGTGGTTTTGGGGGGGGAGGGGGGGGGATTTGAGATTTTCTTCTGCCCAATGTCTTATCCCAATCACAGAAACATTGCTTGTGTTGATTATTTTTAGGATGAGCTTACAGTACTTTAGAAATACATACTACCTTGATACTTCACTCTCCTAATACAGTGCAGTACTTGTGGTTTTTATCCTTCGCTGTTAATGATACCAAGTTATATTTTGAAACATATTATAAAATGGCACAAGTTTCAATAGTTACATGGAATTAGCTTTACATATGTTCTTATCATTAACAATGCTTTTTTGCAGTCACAAATTACGTCGCATAATAAGGAGAGCCATTAATATCGGTGGTGATCAATTTGGTTTCCTCCCTGGAAAAAATTGTCTAATAGATCTGACCTGTATCGTGGCTGAAAGTCTTGGTGAAACTTATACTGAACTCTGTGACCAGCTAGCAAAAGTACATATTATCCTTGACCATGAAGAAAAATACTTCTATGAAATACAGGAAAAATTAAGTCGGTAAGTGCATGGATCAACTGTTGAATTTTGTATCGGTTTCCTTTTATGGGGAAATGCCAAAGAAAAAGTTACCAGTAATGTTGAATGAAAGGAGACATTTACTTTGCAAAATAGTAATTAATGTACTTGTTGTTGTAATATTTATCATGGAAACAGTATTTTATTATATCATACAAATTATGCCCATAAGTGCAGTATTAATATTTCAGTAATGGAATTTTGTCATTAAACATATCAAATATTGAAATCCATTTTCTTACTGTGTACTGGAAAACATACCATACTTTTTTCTTAATACAGTACAGTATTGTACTCAGGCATTTATGTTTAGTAAAAAGTAATTACTATTGATCTCAGAGTGTCTCATGTCAGTGCACATGGCCTCAAAATGCTCATAATATTGGTCAGATAAAAAAAAAATCGGGGGGGAGGGGGCAGCTTATAGCCCCTGACTGTACTGTTCACAGATGCATGAATTTACATAGATAAGATATTTTCTCATTTTATTGTGTCTCTGTCAGTGACTGGAAAGATCTACTTTTGCAAAGACCAGAGTTGAAGACTGTGTCTGACCTACAAACTCCAGGTATGATTGAAGGAATCCGAGAGATCACGGGTCATATACAAGAGTGGAAAAACTACGACTGTAAACTTCCTGGAAACATGGCATTTAAACTCTATGATACTTATGGGCTTCATGCTGATCTAATAGAAGAACTTGCAGAAATCTATGGCCTAACAGTTGATGAGGAAGGTTTTCAGTTAACCCTTGATAAGTCTAGACAAAAAACAAAAATTATTGGTCAAAAAAGACTAGAAACATTTAAGAAAGAAGAATTGCTCAATAATCTAGTTGCACTGAACCTTCCAGTAACAGATGATAGTGCCAAATATCAGTACAGAACCTCTAATGCTCGTTATCAATTTACACCAGTAAAGACAACGGTTTTATTACTCTTACAAGATGGAAAACTAATTGAGAAAGTTACTGGTGGAAAAAGAGTTGGTGTTCTTCTTGAAGCTAGTAATTTCTACCATGAAGCTGGAGGTCAGGAGGGGGACACTGGAAGACTCAGCACAAATAATGCAGAAATTGACATCACAGGTGTGGATAATATTAGTGGCTATGTAATTCACTGGGGTATATTGGAGAAAGGCGAAGTAGCTGTTGGAGACACAGTAACAGCTACTATCTGTGAAACGAGGCGAATAGGATGCATGCAGCACCATTCAGCAACGCACCTTCTCAACAGTGCACTTAAAGCATTAACAGGTGAGTTAGTATTTTCTCAATTTTCAGTTTTTCTCAATATGTAGTACAGTACACAAAACCAATGTTAGTTGCTGTACTACCACAGTGTTAAACAAAAATTCCTGTGATATTATATCTTTATGTACTGTAGATATGACCTCCAGGATTGTACAGTATACATATATCCAGGTGGGGAAGTACTCATGTTATTAACCATTTAAGTTAATAAAGTCATAAGATAGATTTTACAAACATTTGAAAAGCAGCTTTGAAATTATGCAAATGAACTGAAAGCAAGTGCTGTGATAAAAATCGATACACCTGTACTCTGATATGTAACAATCCCTGTGTTCTTATAGCATGGTAAATATTCACATTTTACAGTACTGTACTGTATTACTGTTGATTGATTTAGTAAAATATCTGACTCTGCAGCCTCTAGTGTATTACTGACTTACTGTACAGTACTGTCTATTAATTCAATAAGATGTGTCACTAGAATGAATTTACAAATGGTAATATGTTTGTACAGTGGTCCCTCGGTTAACGAACGGTTCGATTAACGAAATTTTGGTTAATGAATTAGCTCCCATAAAGATTTTCAGTTCGATTAATGAACAAAACTTCGATTAACGAAATCCTTACAACAAACACGTTTTGTTGTGCGCATCAGCTGATCGGCTAGTCCGCCAATACAGTAATTGGTTTTATGTTTACATTCGTTTCCAGTGAAGTAAATATCAAGAAAGTTGCTCTTGAATATTTCTGCATTTTTTATATTAAAATTATTGGTCATTCTGAAATTTAATTAACATATTGATAATATAGACAGTACAGGGAATAGTGTTTGTGCGCCCATCATTGATTGAATCACTCAACAATGCTTCTCAGTTTAACTTTGTTTACAGTGGAGTGAACATCGATTTTGTTGGTTTCTTGAATATTTTGGCATTTGTACAATAAAATTATTGGTCATTCTGAAATTTAGTTAACATATTGATAATATACAGTGCAGAAATTATTATGAAACGTGAAGAAGGCATTAGAATCAATGCACTCTGTAAAGAATATGGCATGTCATCATCGACTGCCTCTACAATCAGCTGTTTGATATGTAAACAAAGCTGCCGGTAATACGACATACACACCTCAAAGTAAGTTAAAAATACAGTATTCTATTATTGTACAGTATACTGTACAGTACAGTACTGTATTTAGTTTATATTTAATGTTTTGTTAATTCTATTACTGGTATACAGTACTTTGTATGTACTTTTTCTGTGAGTTGGAACCAATTACCCAATATCCCATTGAAATAATAGATTCGGTTAACAAATTTTTTGGTTAACGAACGACTCTGTGGAACGAATTGTGTTCGTTAACCGAGGAACCACTGAATTATACTGTACTAGTACTTTTATGTTTCAGGTTTATCTTGCCAGAAGTCATCTCATGTTGCTCCAGACTATTTTTACATACAAATCCGGACATATCAAGCTCTAGACCATGACATCATCCATAAAACTGAAGAAATAATTAAGGTTAGTTGTTAATGTGAGTAGCTAGTTGTACGATAGAATGCTAAGTATAAGAATATTCAATAAGTTTTTTTAAATTGCATTATGAAATTCAGAACATTTGTAAAATGGAGTTGGGAGAGGTTGTAAGAACCTGACAAGAGAGACTGCAGCATTATTGGAGAGCTGCCATCAGGTATCTGGGGCTAACCCACGCAAGCATACAAAAAGGCCGTAAAACAATGATGATGAAAAATGGAAAAGGGAAGGAACAAATTTTGGGGAGACTTATTATTGGGGCACACTGTTGGTTTATATTTCATTAGCTCTTCAGTCCTCAAAAGACAAATCCTTATGTTTTCAAAATAGAATTACAATAATATCTCCGTTAGCCGGAAACCCTCAAACCCGGAACTTTCCGATAGCCGGAATTGAAATTTTCTTGGAAAATCGTTCCCAAAGCCAGAATTTTCCGGAAAATTCCTGCTTTGGGAAAATTTTTTTGAGGAGCACATTTTCTGGAAAAATCCGGGGATGAGGGAGTTTTTACTGGGTTTGAGAGATGAAAATCAGGCGCATTTTCTGTATACGTAGTGTATTCTGAGAAATTTTTCCGATACCCGGAAAATTCTGGGGATGAAGAATTTTTTTTTTCCGGGTTCGAGAGATGATGTATAATGTGCAATTTCTGGAGCTTCCGGGAAAAATTTTCCGTTACCCGGAAAATTCCTGAAAGTTTAGGGGATGCGGAATTTTTTTCCGGGTTTGAGAGATGATGTAATGGGCAATTTCTGGAACTTCCGAGAACATTTTCCGTTACCCAGAATTTTTCGGGTAATGGGGATGATGGATTTTTTTTTTTCCGTCTTTGAGAGAGCTGTCTCGTTACCCGGAAATCTCTCATTCCTGGAAGAGTTCTGCCCCAATTATTCCAGCTAATGGAGATATCACTGTACTGTACTTCAGGTAAGGGGATACAGTACACTATATTTTCTTCAACAATACCTGCACCTCTGTACCAAGAAATGAATAAGCTCCTGCCTATAAACACACTGTTCTGGCCAGGGGTCACTTCTGCGCTCTTGATATACAGTACTCCTCTTACTGTGGGTAAATCCTGGGATCATGAAACCCCCTGGATATTGGGAATGCTTGCTCCCCTCTTATTGTTGGAAAGATAAATAATAACCTTAGTAAGTACAAAATACTATATATTAGAGAAGCAGTTTTTTATGGATAGAAATGATTTGGATACATTCAATGGGTGGGAATAGCTTAAGGCAGAATATTTTGGAAGCATATGGGAAAGATTTCATCCAATGAGGGCTATCCTGCTTTGATGCAAGGTGGCCAGGCAGATGCTGATCTGATTGTAGCAAGCAGTTGCTTTATGTCATTGCAGTAACATATATTTATGTTCCAGAGATGGATTGCTATGAAAAGTCCCATCAATAGAAGAACTATGAACATCACAGAGATGTTGCAGGAACCAAACATAACCCTCTTGCCAGGAGAAGTGTATCCTGACACTGTGCATCTCATAACCACCAAATTGGTTGATGATGGTGATATATCCAAAGAGGATGAATTTCTTATGTTATCATCAGCTGAGCCTTGCTGTGGAACTCATCTTTGCAATACTGGAGATATTGGCAATTTTATCATCACAAATATTGTAAGTAGCTGATCATAAAATTAGTTTCATATAATTTTAAAAGGGAAGTAAAAAGCTTTGGAATAGTCATAAAAATGGCATGTAACTCAGTGAAATGGGAGGATATGAAAAAAATTGCTGGGTAAGGTGGATACAGAAGTTGATGAAAGTGATAGAAAAAAAGAGCCATATGTGAATAAACTAAAGGATTGACATCCATTGGGTAAGTGTTATGAAAATTTTATACTCAATGTGTATTGGAACCATTTTGCTTGTATACACTAATTGATACATATGTACTGAATAACATTGTGATCTGATTTTAGTGTAGAGTAGACCCTTGCCAACGGCAGATTCTGGATATCTGCTGTTTTTACTATGTATACCATTTCACCAACTGCGACATTGAATTTCTAGTACAGAGTATCCGCAGATTAGTGTGGCATCTTTATCCCTCTGTGGTCTAATGTATTCCTCCGTAAATGTGAGGAATGAATAAAACTAATACTAAAAAATAAAATAAGAAAAATACTGCATTGCCATTTGGCATTCATTTCACTAAGGACACAGGAGACAGGAGTGCGCTCCCCTCTCCTGCTCCCACGATTGTGGGCTAACTCCTGCGCACATAAGAAATGTTTATTCTCCTTATGTTTTTTACCTTATGATAATAATTTCTCCTTTTTTCTTCTTCATATTCTGTATGGATGATTGTGTGCATGAAACAGTAAAAAAAAAAAAAATAAATAAATAAATACTGTAAATAAAATCACGTATATCTACTCAAAACTACGAGTTGAAAACTAACAATAACACAGCTCACGGCTTGGTTTAATAGGGGAAGGCTGAGATCTCCAAAACCACACTCCATACCCGCTCCCCCCCTTCCCCTCCCACAATCCCGAAGACGTAAGAAATGTTTATTATCTTTATGTTTTTGACCTTATGATAATCAATTCAATTTCAATAGTTTAATCATTGATAGAGGAACCGGGATCCTAGTGCTGTCACTAGGTACCCCTGTACAATAATACCAGAAGCATCTGGCAAGTGTCACTAGAAATAAATATTATAAAGGGGCTTACTCAAGCCTAAGGAAGGAAGGAAGGAAGGAAGGATATTCCTTCAACACATCATCAATATTATTAACATAAAATCTGGCCAGTATGGGGAGGATCATCATGTCTCCGACAGGGGGTCGTGGAGTGGTGGTCCAGCAGGCGTCACGGAAACGTTGTGTGTGGGGACATCTTAGGAGGTAGTGGATAAGGGTGTGGCTGTCGGGTCTTCTGCATAATACACAAGAGCGTTGCTCAGGGGATGCGGGTATACCAATCTCCCAAGCAAAGTTATACCCGACGATGATACGGGCAGCAATCACATCCCTTTTCCGCGACCCTTTCCCATAGACATACGAGAGGTCAGGGAGTTTACGTAGGACATCGTACCAGGTGGGTGGGGAGTCCAGGGGGATGGCTGCTTCCCAAGCTTCTCTCTGTTTGCGGCGAATTTGGGTCTAAGTTGTAAAAGTGTTTGAGGGAACAACGTAGTCAGGTGTGGCCTTGTTACAGCCAGTCTTGGCAAAGCCATCTGCTGCCTCATTCCCCAAGATGCCGACATGACTGGGTATCCATAGGAATGTCACAGGACGGCCAGCATCCTGAAGTGTTGATTTTAGCCCTTGTATTCGGAGGATGAGGTCCTTATTCTCCCCTGAACCAAATGCGACCCCATCGAGAGCAGACCTGGAATTGCAGCAGACAAGCAAGGGGCAGAAACCACCGGCTTCTTCCTCAGCGAGAAGGGCTATCAGTTCAGCCCAGGATGCCCCGTCAGAAACTCTGAGAAAGTTTGATAGGCTCAAGAGCATCAGTACGGGAGATGTAGACACCAGCCCCAGCCCTATCTGTAGCGGGGTCAACAGAGCCATCAGTATAGAAGACTACCCTACCTGGGGACCAGTGGGCGATCCTGGAGAGGTGGTATGTGCGTAGAATACCAGGGTTCATGTGGGATTTTGGGAGCAGTCAACTGAGAGCAATCACTTCAGGTTAAAATTCTAGCCAGGGAGAAAGAGACGAACCAACAGGAGTGACAACAATATCAGGCAGGAGGTCGTGTTCCTGAAGGGTTCGGATGAGTGACCCTCGCCATTGTCTTCTAGATGGAGGTCGGCCTCGGACAGCATGAGTCAAGTTGGCGGCGTAGTCGACGTAGGAGCAGACAAAGGACTTGTACATGGTGAGAAGTACAGGGATAGTGGCACCAAGGGAATCCCTGCACATAGTAGAGGGGAGTGAGACGCCGAAAGCATGTCTCGAAGATAGCGGACTTCAGGGATCTGAAAATGTGTGGGAGTTACATACACACCCAGGTATTTTGTCTCATTAAGCCAGTCCATGGGCATTCCTGATATGAGCCACATGGCTTTGTTTTTGCAGTTGAAAGATGGAAACCAAGTAAATCACACTCTCTGGAGATCAGATCAAGGACTTCCTGCATGCTGAGGTAATCAGGAGGAGGAGGATATCGTTGGCATATCCTGAGTGGACAACTTCTGTCGGCCACGAGAGAGATGCAATGGAATGCACGAGCGTTAAACAAGGTGGGACTCGGGACTCCACCTTAAGGGGTGCCGAGGTTCATTCCTTGAACAGGAGATATAAAGCCTTCAAAGCAAACCGGGCCTGACGTCCAGTGAGGTAAGAGGCGATCCATCGAAGAAGTTGCCCTTTAACCCCCTAACCACACAAGTCCAGCTAAAATGAGGGCAGGCTGAGCTGTATCAAAGGTTCCCTTGATATCCAGAAAGACGGAGACGCGGGCAGTCTGATTGCAATAAAAGGAAGCAATGGAGTGTGCTGTGCTGCGATGTTGTATGAAACCATTGAGGGAGTTGTGGAAGCCTCCTATGGTGTGAAGAAGGCGACAATGGAGTATCCTCTCCATCATCTTGCAACCACAGGTTTCACGTTACGGTCAGCTTTTTCAAAGACGCATCCCTTCTGTAACCCGGTGATTACTGTACTGTACACAGTACAGTTAAAAATTGTTAGATGAGTAGAATTCACCAACTTTTAATCATAGAAAATAACTTTTTATTTCATGCAACTCATAATTACTCTGTATAGATAAAGGCACTAACCGATTGCTATATACTGTACTGTATACCCCTGTCTGGGTTAGGGAGGCTTCTTATTGTATACAACTCATGATTACAGAGAGAGCGTGCACACATAAACAAATTAATTGCAATATTCTCCTGCCCAAGGCGGGGAAGATAAAAAGAGGTGATTTAAACCCTTCTCTACGGTGACGCCATTTAAAATATTTTATTTGCCTAATGCCAGACGATTTTATTCAGCTCAGATGAGACCCTGTACACAAATGATTAATGGCACATATCATGTCAGAACCCATGTGCTAAATTAAGTCAATAGCATTATTTTTGCTGATTATTCTTGTGATATGCTTGTTATAAGACAGCCAGTATTCTTAGCTATAAAAACAAGTGGAAATTTGTGTTACAAGCAGAAATGTAAGGGACTAAGAGGTCAAAGGATAAAAAAATAGAGAACTGTTTCATTATAACGTTGCTACTCTTTAGATACCCATGATTCTGACAACGTTGTTTTATGACCTGCTTGATTCGTTATAACTTCGCCGAAACATTGTCACCCAGCACGGACTACTTTGTATGGCACACAGAATGTGGCCTCTCGTGTCTTTCTGCACTACGCTTTCTCTCGTGGAGCATTACTGCATTTCCAAGCATCTTCCCAGTCTTTCTGAAGCTTTCACAGTGTACGGACATTTAAAGTGTTTTTGGTGCAAATAATGTAACTCATCAAAATGACTTTTAAGAGCCCATTGAGTGGTAGTGAAAGCTTCAGAAAGACTGGGAAGATGCCTGGAAACGCATTAATGCTCCACGAGAGAAAGCGTAGTGCAGAAAGACGCGAGAGGCCACATTCTGTGTGCCATACAAAGTAGTCCGTGCTGGGTGACAATGTTAGGGCGACGTTATAACGAATCAAGCAGGTCATAAAACCCTTTTGATAAAGATGAGTGCGCTGTGGACATTAGTGTAACGTTGAGCCTAACCCTTACAACAATGGGTAATACTCAGACCAACACAGACAAAATTTCTTATAAAAATTTCATTGAATTTATAAACTGGACAGTAACTAGCTTATATTATCTATTTCTTATGGGAAAAATTTATTCCGTTAACATTGTGGTTTACAAGAACATAACCACAACATTAAGCGAGGACTTGCTGTATCTAAAGAAAAATATGAATTTAATTTGCTGTATGTAAGATATTTAGGAGTGTTACTGTAGAGTTTATAAAATACAAGTGGTGTATGGAAAGATGCCAATCTGTTTTGACATCCTATAGCAGAGAATATGAACTGGTTCCATATTGAGTTACAAGCTATTTATTAGATTTTCATTTCACTAGAACACTGCTGGCTTTGGAAATTTCCGAATCCGTGGTGTGTGTGGGGAAATAGCAGTAAAAGCAGAAGCAAATGCAGCAGAAGCTCTTCAACAGTTGGAAGAATGGGAGATGTTAACCCAAAAGGAAATTGATGCTGGTATCAAAGAGAGGTAATATTTATGCATAAGGTCAGGCTGATACACAGACTTTTATAACTGATCTTAACCCTTATGCCCTGGGCAACAGGTATTTCAGACGTAAAAATAGTGCAGTCATCCCAAGTGTACTGTTGTGGCTGGCGTTCATGTGGTCTCCTACGTCCACCACGGCAACCGCAACCTCGCTGGCAGGGTGGGGCGGGGAATGAGCGCCATTGTCTGTACTATCACTATCCTCACCGCTGGCCGCCTCAACAAACTCGACTTCATATGGGTCTGTTTCCTCCCCATCACTGTCTTTTTCACCCAATACTATATCAGTGCCACTCAAATTAAGTAACTCTTGATGAATAGCACTACTATCGAGGGTGTGGAGGAGCGAAGAGGGGTCACGAGACGCTGACGGACACGCGTCCATCATGAGAGCTGGTGGGTACCTGGACCACTAGACTTGAGACAAAGACCACGTGCAAGTTGAGTTGCCAAGTACCAGTAAATAAACAACTTAAAAAGTACAGTACTTTGTCCAGCCTGGAAATTCAGACTTTGCCACAAAAATTAAGGTTGTAGAGGAAAGTCACCCGGGCATTAAGGGTTAAGATAGCACGAAGAGGTTTGGATTTAAAATATACTTCTTTTTTAACAAAGGTTCTATCTTTTTAAATAATTTAAGTAAACTAATATGTGAAAATAATTACACTGAGTGCAGTCACTGTAGTTTTATACATGTTAAAACTCTTGAAAATGTCTTAAAATGTCTTAAGAATCATATTACACTGGATCATATTTAATTAGTGATATATGTTTTACTATTCTAAAGTGTCATAACATTTCAGAGTGTCCAGTCTTGAAAAGGAAATTGCCACCTGGCAGAGTGTTAATAGAGATACCTTAATGCCATACCGTGCACACTCCCATATTATTGAGTCCACTGATATTTATAGAAGACTTTTGAGGAATGCTTGTAGAGGAGATGCAAATAAGGAGGTTGGTGTAATAAATTTTTTTTCTTTTATGGATATTTATCTCAGTTGTGAGAGGCAGTAAGGATGGTAGCATGATGGAGGAAATGGGGAAAATTGACAGGTTTCCTTGTTATGTTCCACCATTCATTCTAAGTCATGCCAGCAAGCTTTGATTCACCATTTCAACCAACTTACAACCATAATCTGTTATTGCTAACACTTACATCACCTTGCATATTTAATTTACAGTTCTATATATGAATATTGTACTATATCTGTATACTGTACTGTACAAGTATCCCCCTATTTATGTTGGGGTTAGGTTCCCTGAAAAACTCATTACTATGTGAAATATCTTAGATCGAGACCATTATAACATGGGGTTCAATGGGATATGTTCACAGCCAATCCAACACCACATGTAAAAAAAAAAAAAAAAAAAATTCCTACAATAACAATATACAGTCAACCCTCACTTTACGAGGTTAATTCAACCCACAGGGTACAGCAGAAAGTGAGAAACGCGTAAAGTGAACAACATAAAATATGGGATTAATTGAAATAGAGACCGGGCCGACCCCCAAACTCCACTTTTTGACGACACACAACTATGTTGTAGTAAAAATATTATCTTAACTTTATGATGGTATGCACACACAATTAATAATTAAGAGAAATATCAATAATATTAGGTTTTATAACACTTACATTAGTAGAAAAGATGGCTGGGCACACGGGGATGGGCGGTTGGTTCCGAAGCAGAGGGCAGATTATTGGCCCTCACCTGTATCACTTGTATCAATTGTATCACTATCCACCACAGAGGCTTGCAGGGCCTCTTTGTCAAACCCCTCAAAGTCCATATAAGTCCATATCCTCACTATAATTATCACTCACTGACTTGGGCCGGCTGTGGTGGGTGGCGGGTGAAGAACTTGGTAATGTTTTGATGACTGGGCGACCTTGTGCGCACCATACTTGCGCCGCTTACACAACATGGCGGATGGCGGGAGGTTTGAATCCAAAAATGGCGCGGCTCGCCAGCCACTCTCCGCGTAAAGGGGTACACGCACTGCGGAATGTGAGCATTCCTGTTTCGGCAGGGTACCGTGTAAACGTGGGAACGCGGAATGTGGGACCGCGTAAAGCGAGGGTTGACTGTACAGGTAACTCGCGTTTGATTTAAACGTTTTTAGAATAACACGATTGTTCAATTAATACCAAAAAGCTAATTTAAGTGTACCCATTTTTGAAATAACAGACTCAATACAGTTTAAATTTGCCGCGCGTATTCGCACGGCATCATCCTAAATTCCGACTACTACCGGGTATACTTTGTTTACATGGTGTGAACACCAGCTAACACTTTAGGGTTAATGGACAATACTTTATGTGGTGACTTAATATGAGAATTATTTGGTGTGGGGTTGCTGTTTACTTCTGACTGTCGATTTAGCGACCTAACATGACTACAGTGAGTTCTGCTATAACGCGTGTTTTGATAACGCGAATTTGCTCTAACGCGATTTATGAATTAGGAATGATATTTGTATCACGCGAACGCTTGTTTGCTATAACGCGATTTTTGCTTACTATTTCTCCAATTTTGTGGTACAGTGGGGTATGCTATAACGAATCTAATTGGTTCTAGAACCTTGTTCGTTATAGCATTCGTTCGTTATAGGATTAATCCGTTCCAGGCCCCCAAATACAACCACTTAACACTGAAAAATATAATATAAAATTGTAAAAATTGTAAAAAAGTGCATAAATATGCATCTAAACCCCTGAAATAAAGAATATCATTAATATTTGTAATAATAAAACAATAAATTAGAAAAAAAAAATAAATTTAAATTATGTTCGTTGTAGGAGTTTCGTTCGTTATAGCATTCTCAATTTTATAGGTAAAACCATTCGTTATAGGAATATTCGTAGTAGGATCCGTTCGTTATAGCATACCCCACTGTATTAACTGTGAATATAGTAAAGAAGAATATCAACAAGAAGTGTTCTGGTGATAGAATTCCCGGTGATGATCATAAAAGAAAGGATATAACACTTGAAGAGAAGCTCGATTTTATCAACCTCAAAATCACCCTTCTCCCCCATCAAGTAAAGTGTTACATTTACTGTATGATTTCATTATTAGATATGAATGTAACATTTATTTAGACTGTGCTATCCTTTGTGTTAGGCTAACTACTAAATTTTTTCGATTTCGAGTAATCTGCACCTAACCCTATTTTCTTCATATGCCCTGTTATTTCTATTACGCGATTTTCTATAACACGATATTTTACAAGAACACAATTATCGCGTTATAGCAGATCTACCTGTAATTAGTGGTACCATGCGACACGCATTATCTAACAAGCTAAAAATGCAAACAATATTGTTTTATATTAAAATTTTCAGATGGTGAATGAGATGAAAAATATTATTGAGCTGCAACAAGATGGCCCCATCCTCCATCTCATGCAGACAAACTTTGGTACAAGTAAAGCTGTATTAAGTAAAGCTACTGCACTTGCCAAGCAACGGCCTATACTGGTATTGGCTAAGTCGGAAGGGGTTATAAAGGGCCGAGCCACAATACCTGAGGTATGATCACAATTATTATTTCAGTTCCTGTGTAGCTGAAATGTATTTACCGTAGAATTATTTATTTAATTTTTTAATTTTTAAATATAATATTGTCATAAATATGAACTTACAGGGATTTTCCTGAAACAAAAATAGTCAAAACAATTCACAGCTGCATATCCTTGATCTCCCCTTTATTTCCTTATTCCACCAAATATTCCTACCCCAAGTCTTGGTCTTTACCGCTACTGTAGCTACTGTTATGTTGTCACAATAAGTTGATGGTAATTTTCTTTGGAAAAAAAAAAATACAAAATCAAATCCATCTGCCATTTTTGTGTTACAGAACTAAGGGAATGACATGGCTTTTCTAACCAAAATTCAAAGAAGTCTTACATGATCTTACGAAATAAACCAAAATGTGTATCAATATGTAAGAAATGAACCTGCTTGTTCATAGGTAACATAAAGAAGTAGAGGGGTATATGCTTACTTTTTTGCCTGTAACTGTCCTTGATAATGGTCTTGGTACCATGATAAACTGAGACAGTTGAGTCCTAAATGGCTACCCCCTCTGACTCTTAAGTTTGAGGTCTGCTTTCCCACTTCCTTCTCATTTTACTCAGCTTATCTGCTTCTTACCCAGTAGTATTGCTAACTCTCTCATATTTCAGGAGTTTTTGTCTTGTGGTGCCTCAGCTACTGCATGGATGACCTGTGTGAGTGAAGTCTTAGGAGGGAGAGTAAAAGCCCCAAGGGGACAAAATCCTCTACTGGTGTGTAATTTTCGTAGTAAGAAGACAGACTTCACACTTATAGAGACTAAACTGAGGGAAGCACTTAAATCCTCAAAAGATTATATAGATGACTTTTAATGGGTTCAAATAATGTTTCATTGTTCTTTATACTGACTTTATTATCAAGTTGTATTCAATAGCAGAAATTGTATGTAATTTTACCAAGTTATTTTCTATAAAAGACTGTAATACAAATAAATGTAAATGATTTTGCTGTACATATTTAGAAAATGTGCATATTGTACAAAATGTGAAGTAAAAATACTGGTACATTAAATATTGTATATTACCAAAAGTGAAGTGTGTTTGTTATTTATACTCTGTTCTGTGTTCATGAAATATGGATATAATACAATACAAATATTGCATAATTCTGTACTGTAAACTGTCCTTTCATAAAACAAGAAACATAAGAGATGATTAAAATAAATAAAGTAGTGTACCACAAAATAAGTTTGACCATGTATTCCCTGCACTAAATACTTCATAACTTACTTAGAGCTGCTTGAAGAAATGAGACAACTTTACAGTAGGAGTCTGCTTTTCTGGAATACAAACAATTTTATATATTAATGTACGTACTGAAATTGATAACATATAATGTAAAGGAAAACATACACAGGAAGTGCATTCATAAATGGTAGATAATTTACCCTTTATGTCTATGACAATGAGCTAAATGCTGAACATTAACGAAAGTTAAATTAAAAGTAAACAAAATTGATAACAAACAACAGATTGTGACTGTGTTTCATTCTGTAGGTGAACAAGACAATAAGAATATATTGGGTGACATGCCCCTCATACATCCAGCAGAGAATGGGTACCTAATTCTACAATTGGGGAAGTGACTGTTGGCAAGGCTGTTTCCTTGTGCACTGAGGATTAGTATTTAAGTGTGTTGTATCCACACTGTCTCTCTTGACCTGCCTGGCCTACAGTATGCAATCCGTACAGTTTCACACAATAAATGAGATAAAAAAATGCCATTGAGGGCCATACACTCCATTAATAGAATATCACTTATCTTTATTACAAGGGCATCACATTGTAGTAAGTAATGGAATTCTATCCATATATACCTAAAGAAAAATGGCATGCAAGAAATCTAACAAATTAATACTGTACATTCTTTATGCCTGAAGTCTCTGTACCACATAATACAATACAGTACCTTCCCTCTTTGTTAGATGGCAAGTTGGCAACACAGTGGTCATGGAAAACCTACCTATTTAACGGCTTGCAGATATCAAGGTGAGTTGCATTAACTTCATGAAATACTCCAACCCCTGGATCTATAATAATAGAGTAAACTATTAAGGATGCTAAATTTATACTGAAAATAACACCATGAAAAAGACAGAAATAAACTTGCGCTTATTTTTTAACCTTGTTCATCACTGCACTTCATCTAATTACTATACATTCTCTGTTATGAGTAAGGTAAATATCCTCCCGTTTGAAATTTAAAAATTTACATAGATCATGTGCACACTTGATGAATTTAAATGAAACTGTAAAACAAAAAAACATTATGTTTGGTGCTACTCTCTACTTGCAACACAGAAAAAAATAGTTATGGTAGTTTTACAGAAATACTGTATATTCCACATCAAATATGATGGAAAAAACAATCAGGAAACCAGGTGAGATTGTTAAGCCGAATAATGCAGCCAAGAAACAACACATAATCTTCTTACCTCCATACTCAGATGGGACAAAATGTAATGGATAGCCCGTAGTTTTGTGCTTTACTGGTTCTGACTCATTTAATGTTAGAACTGCTATATCTCGTGCTTTCATCAGACTCACAAAAGACTGATGAAGGTGATGTAAAACTGGGTTATCTGTAGGAGCATAAAACACTTTTTTTTACCAATTACTGCACACAGCGAGTTCAGGTAGAGTATATTATACCATATGTATTTCACTAACTATGGATACTAAGGCAGGACTTTTTTGTGATAAAAGCGGGGAACGAGTTATGAAATCTCATATTTTGGCCGAGGAGAAGAACAAATGACCTATGAAAGATTAACCATCAAAGAGTTACCTGTTCTCATATCAAACAATTCTGTTGTTGGTCTTAACAACTGGCGGAGCATCCCTTGAGTAACTGATGTAGCCAATGGAGAACCATGGTGAGGAACACTGAAGAATATTGTAGCCACTGTCTGTCTGGCAAGACTGTTCTTTATTACCCACTCACCATCCTATGAAGAGAATTACTATGTAAAAGAGACATTCAATACATTTTGACTTATAAGCAAGTGATTATAATATATAAATCTCTTTAAACTTGTTCATATGCACTGTATACAGTACATTTATATCTTATATTTTACCCACAGTTTATCTAAAACATGAGTGAGTCATTTAATTAAAGCACCGATCTATACAAAACTTTCTATTTGCACTTTGTTTAACAATCATTGTTGCTTCTACCTAAGTTCAAAAACATTGAAACATCACCTGACACAGCAGCTTATTGGTTTGGTTATCAAATAAAAGTGAAGTACGTACAGTACAGTACAGGAAGTTGCTACAGTTTTGCACCAAGAAATATAAACAGTATGTATAAATTATTTTTTAACATCAGTAAATATAAATAGTACAATAAAATGGAAAAGGTAAAATATAAAGGTAAAAGCCATAGTTAACCATAAAAGGATAAAGAGGAAAATAACAGAAATGTCAGAAGTTTGACAATCAGTGATGGTGACATGACTCCGTGTATGTATGGGTGTATGGGCTGATGGAAGAGCAGGTATAACTAGAACCATTAACAATTGAGATAATAATCTTCTTTTTCCCTTGCAAGGTTTTCCCCAGATGACTTGAAGCCAATAGGTCTACTACCAGAGAGTAAAAGTTAATCATTATCATTACAGTACAGTACTGTACATTCATTTTCTGAGTGAAGGAGATACTTTCAAAACTGAGTCACTTTCTTACATTTGCTTGTGAGGAAATTTTTTCTTTGCTGTGTCCTTCAGCGAGAGCTTTATCCTCCACTGATGCTTTGCTCTGTAAATCCATCAACAGCATATTTTTCACCAGAAGGCCGCCCATGGAATGTGAAATCCAAATAATTGGTCGCTTGCCAACTCCTGCTACCTTCAGTGCATATGCTAGGTCTCTACTGTGGTTTGTGATGGATTTCCTGAAAGATAGATTATATGATTAATTACTAATTGCATGACAGCCTCTACATTTTTATAGATTTTTAAAAATGCCAACACAGGAATTTGTATTACTAGTAACTGTTCTTCTCACTGTAATTTCTAATTTATCTCATAAAAATATGTTGCTTAAAGATTTTATACCACAAGGTGGTGTGTATTACATCTTTACAATTTATGGCCTCCATGGTTACTCCCCTCTTTCCTTTACATTCCCTCACTATATTACACTGATACACCCAATTTCCATTTTTCACATTGAGATACAATTGTTGTTAATTAACTATAATCTACAGGTACTTTCACAAACATTAACCTTAGTAGAATTTTTACTCGTGTGCAAGAAAATGTACAGTAATATCTCCGTTAGCCGGAATCCCTCAAACCCGGAACTCTCTGATAGCAGGAATTTAAGTTTTCTTAGAAATCATTCCCAAAGCCAGAATTTTCCGGCTTTGGGAACAATTTTCCAAGGGGCACATTTTCTGGAAATTCCGAGCAAAATTTTCCGGGATCTGGAAAATTCCGGGGATGGGGGATATTTTTCTGGGTTCAAGAGATGATGTAATGGGCAATTTCTGTAACTTCCGAGAACATATTTCTGTTATCCGGAAAATTCCAGGGATGAGGAATTTTATCCGGCTTTGAGAGAGTCGTCTCGTTACCCGGAAATCTCTCATTCCCGGAAGTGCTCTGCACCCATTGTTCCGGCTAACGGAGATATAACTGTATTCCCTTTTTGTGTTTGCCCTTAGGACAATTATTTCTTTGACCTGTATTGTATATAGTATTTGTATGTGTGTGTAGTCAAACACACACAAAACACATACAAATATATAATAATTGGAAAATCCTCTCACAAATAATCAGAAACAAGACAAAAAAAAATATATTAAACATGCGAGTCTACCCTTAAGTCAACTCTGTGCTTTTTTATTAAAGTTATAACAAAGCACGGAGTTGACTTGACGGTGGACCCTAACATTTTTAATACATTTTGTTGTCTTGTTTCTGATTATTTGTAAGAGGATTTTCCAAATATTATTTATTTGTATGGTTTTGTGTGTGTCTACACACACACACACAGGTAAAAGAAATTACCGTCTCTAGAACGAATGGCTCCCTATCCCAGCCGCACAAATGCCAGCAACTTTAAAACTACCTTTAGACATTCTTGGGTACATCCAGGCTGTCATCCGTGAATAATCGAGGTCCGCAAATTAAAAATCCACGAATTTTAAGGGCATGCTGTAACTGCTTAATTTTAGCTTAAAATAATTATACTATTGAAAATGGCTATTCTATTGTCCATTATCCTCATTTCCTAGATAATTTTATCACTTCCCGGTATTTTTCTAAAAGTTACTTTAGACTAGTACGTACAGTACTACAACTTACCCTCTACTCTCTACTGGGCAGTCAGTCTCCCACTTCCACCACCCACATCTATAGTTGACAGCAATTACTCTCACTGGCATGTTCAGTGTTGGTACTAACCAATCCAATGGCCAACAACAGGTGTAAAAGTCATCAATACCTGAAACAGGAATGACTTTTTAGATTTCCTCCTCATTTTCTTAAATAAATATTCAATACTGTATAAAGGTTCAGCTCAAAATTTAGGATAGATATTTTTTCAGGTTTGTTAGATCCTATTGAAAGCAACAGTGATTAATGGAGTTTTAATGCCTGGAAAGACAGCATTACTGTACCATCTATGTGCTTCCCACTCAGGATCTCCTTGCGCTTTTCCTGAGATAAGAGTGGCTTGTGTTTCCCCTTGTCATGCTGGCGCCATGTCCAAGCTGCCCCACCTTTAATGCCGTGAACCAGAATGATATCTACGACAGGACTCTAGATGGAGTAATAAAAGAATAAAAGATAATATCAATAACTACAGTATTAATATAGTTTTATTTGTATGCTGTGCATACCAATCATTTTCAACTCTATTAATGAAGCAATTCGTTATTTGAACAAAAATTATCGTCCTAAAACTCAAACTAGCAGCAAACGAAAAAAGGTTTTAAGTAACAGTGAACAAACATTCACAGTACAGTATCTGTGTTTAAAAATAATGTATCAGATATAAAGACACTGTTTTCAAAATTAAAAATAAGCACTGAATTATTATTTAACCTTTTGACAGGGCAACACATCTCTGCTTGTTGGAGATAAAACATTTAAAGATAAAGAAAAACCTGCGAGTCTGACAAAGAGATGGAAGCTCTTGCATTTTACACCTTTACCTTAAATTGGGCTGTTAATAAAATAAATCTAAACTTGTTTAAAAAAGGGCAAATTTTATAAGTATTGTACAGATTGTACACATATAACTATAATAAATAAATAAATAAAATGTGGATACTGATGCAGTGGCTAGGTGGATACACTGCTTCCCTCCTATTCTAAAGGTTTCTGGTTCACCTCCTGGGGCATCCCTAGTCAACCCAGCTGTTAATGGGTGGGTACCTGACTTTATTTGAGGCAGTAATGGCAGTCAAGTGCAGTGTCAACCATATTACTTTTTTTACTTTTATCCTCTTCGCCACTGATCGGCTCATTAGTCGCTTGGGCGGTCGGCCACGTCTCTGTTACGCACTGTTAGCAAATACTGGGCATGAACTGGCTCCTGAATGTATTTGAACCTGCTCCAGTGTTGGTCAAGTCTGGTCTTAAAAGAGCTCACACTTGGTGCCATCACAACACTTTCTGCCAGATTGTTCCAAGCTGTGTAGTGTTTAATACACCACAATCACATTGCCCTAATGAACTATCAGGCCCATGGGTTACACTTTCACTTTTTTCACTGTTGCAATGATAAAATCGAATCCAAGACAGTTTTGTGTCACTGGTGTCAACAAGATTTGGACCAAAGGTTTGAAATTTTACTCAAGTCATGGGATGGTTCTGGGTAAATGTCAGCAAAGGGATGTGTAAGGATCATACTGTTTTCTGTATTGCCTTGAAAAGGAAAAAAAAATGCTTTCCAAGTTTAGAACATAGAGGAAAAGAATATACTGTATAGGGTAAGAATGTTACAGAAGACAGTAAACAAACTACAGTATCTAGAAAGCATAATGTAGGAAGATAAAAAGTATAAGTGAAAAAAGAGTACAAAATATATGAACAAACGAGCATACATGTATCATAGCTGAAGTATTTCGAAGATATTCTGTCTAATGAACTGTGTTATGGATTCAGGACAAGAAACATATGAATACAGTACAGTATATATTGGAACAGGTATCCTTAGAGACACAAACGTTTGAGATACAAATTTTTGCTTATACCTGAACTATGAATTTCCTAAATTGACACCTGTATTTCATGTTAAGAAAGCTTTCCCCATTTATACAAATTTGGGTCCCAGCAAAAATTCAAATCACAGTTTCCAGGGAGTCAGCTAGGGTGGCCACATCCACCTACCATTCTCCCCACCAGGCTGAGGAAGGATTTATGGTTATTTTTCAACTCGAAATTTCAGGTATATAAACATAACTTTCTTCATATTATTTTTTCCATTCAGTTACATGAGCACAAAATCCTACATACAGAATGAGAAAAAAAAATAATAATCACAAGGTCAAAAACATAAAGGGAATAATTATTTATTTGTGCACCAGCGAGAGGAGTTAGCAGGATGAGCTGGGGGAGATATGTTATGATTATTTTTCAACTCATAGTTTTAGAAAGATAAACTTAACTTTTGTCACTTTTTTTTTTACTCAGTCACAAACACACAATCCTTATTACAAAATGTGCCAAAAAAGTAGGAGAAATAACTATCATAAGGTCAAAACGGAAAAAGAATAAACGCTTCCTTGTGTGTGAGAGCGAGGGAGGGAGCGTTGTGGGTTGGCTGGGCTACGTTTTATGGCGACGCTTGAGGGCTGCCACACATGAAGCAGCCAGCGTATATACCAGGGGTTCCCAAGCTTTTTCTAGCACGACCCCATCCAGTGTTGTCAACTATCCAGTGCGACCCCAAATCATTTCACTGGCAGACCCAAAGGACCCCAGCGACCCCATGACCTCTTTGCGACCCTACCTAAAGAGCCTTCTGACCCCATTTGGGGTCGCGACCCCAGGTTTGGGAACCCCCGGTCTATACAAATGGCGCTGCTGGCGGCCGTTTTAAACTTTGATTTGTCGTTTTCTTAATAGATTTATCTGCGTGTTTTCATCTAGATAATATTTTATACAGTACTAATATTTTTAATGTGTTAAATAGTTAATATAGTACAGTAGTTATCATTAGTTAGGTATGTTTTTTTTCTCATTTGTGAGCTGATTTCATGATATTGGGGTATTTTTATCATTGGGGAACCGAAACCTATTTTTTTCACATGTTTTTCTATTCGAGATATGAAAACTCACCCAACGAATGTTTCTTTTTAGAACCTAACCCATTTGTATCTTGAGGGATGCCTGTATTGTATTACAGGAACACATACCTTATGCCACTTCTTAATTTGGATAAGAATCACATGAAAATGTTGGATAAATACAGTAGAGTACAGTAATATCAGAACTTCGGAGGCACTTGTTGCAATCACTGATGCAGGAAAAGTTTATTTCATATATTTAAATGTTTCTGCATTTCAAGGAAACTGATATACAGTTGTGTATACAGACCAAGAGCATATTTTACCAGATTTGTGAATTTTCCAGTTTTCTGAACAAGGCCATTCCTCCTATGTGACTGACAAAATGAACTAACAATACAAACTAAAGATCTTATAAATATTATTTAGTTAAGTAAGATAAAGTTTGGTGGGGTTGTTTTGTCTAATATGAATTTTACTGTACCTTTTCCTCATCTGGCAAAACAAAGGGGTAAACTCCTTCTAAATAAAGGTCGCCATGACCCGATCCTTTATTGTTAATTAGTTTGAGGTTGTGCAGTCCCCGCCAAGCTGGTAGAAAAATGTGTGATTCTTTGTTGTTTGCACAATGCGTAAGGGTATCCAGCAAACCTGTAAGAAATTGTCATGTTTTAAACCTAAGACATCTATAATTTGCAAACACACTTCCGCAAAAGTGATTTGTAGCAAAGTTGCCCCATGAGACAATTTTTTGACACTACAATATTACTTTAAACTGAATCTGCAATTATAGTGGCAAAAATTACTATTTACAGCAGTTGTATTTCAAGACACTGATACAAGCTTGTATGGAATATGGAAGCAAAGATAAAAAGATGCAGATTAGAAAAGTGAAGCAAAGATGTTCTACCGGGGAAAAAGAAACATTATTAGCACATGTAAAAAACAAGAGCGAAAAGATTTCTGACCATATAACCTTCAATGTGTCAATTACTTTTTAATGCACTAAATACTTAAAAAATATAATTCATGTGTAAATGAGTCAGTAATCAACAAATTATCATCAACTCTGATGCGTTACTCCCTCTGGGAACTTCCTTTCGTCATGAGGACAGCCACAGGTAGAACCTTCCCTTTACATTGAAGACTACAGGAGCATTTGAAGCATTTACTGAAAATTTTACTTGCTTGTTTAAGTCTCAAACTAAACTCCTTTGAAGATGATATATCACCATTGAATTTATAAAAATGCTATTATAATGAAATAAATAATGATTGACAAAAATTGCCTGACTAGATGCATCTATATGCACAAATTGCAATACAGTTCATAAAATCCTGTTAAAAACTATTTGAAAAATCATTTACATGTACTGTACAGGTATATAAATTGGAGACTTTCAGAGTGACTGACAAAAGTTATCAGATTGAAATTGTGTGTTCACAGACACACTAACCCTCTCAAATTATTTGTACCAAAGTTCACAAATTCCTTTGGAAACTCGACAAGTAGCTGTTGAGTAGCATATAATACAAACTTGTGAATACAAATGGCTGAGTATAGATCAGCCGACCATCCACTATATTGTGTACACATACCGTATATCACTAATCCCACATTTTCTGAGCTTCTATTGACCTTCAGGAACCAAGCAAAGTCAGAGTCTAGAAGGACTGAAAAGGAGATCCAGAGGCTGATTGCAAGTGAGGTAAAGTCAAACCCAAAGGCGTTTTACTGCTATGTGAAGTAGAAATTAAAAACGAAAGTAGGAGTATTTGGTCTGAAGCTTGAAGATGGTAGTTACACAGATTCTGACCAGGACAAAGCGGAGGCATTGAACAGTTTCTTTTCCTCAGTGTTCACGAGAGAGATGCGAACAATCTTCCTTGCTTTTGAGGACAGAAGGTTTGACACAGCGCTGACCCACATTGTGTTCTCATAAGAGGTTATAAGAAATAAATTGTCAAAGCTAAAGATTCAAAAGAGTCCCAGCCCTGACATAGTGCATCCCAGAGTGCTAAGGGAGTTGTGCAACGAGCTTGCTGAGCTCCTGAAGATCCTGTTCTGTAAATGCCTGTATGAGCAAAAGGTCCCCAGTGATTGGAAAAAGGCTTATGCGAGTCCTATTTTCAAGAAGGGTGATCGTCACTCCACAAATAATTATAGACCAGTGAGCCTGACCAGTATAGTAAGTAAAGTACTCGAGAGCATTATAAGAGATGCCATGATGGAACATCTACTCCAAAACAACCTTGTAAAGGATTGCCAACATGGTTTTATGCCGGGATGCTCCTGCGTAACACAATTACTTAAGGTACTACATGTTTGAACCCAAATTCTCGAACAAGGTGTTAATATCGATAACATATACCTAAATTTTGCCAAGGCTTTTGACAGTGTACCCTATGAAAGGCTGAAAATTAAACTAGAAGGCTATGGGATTTGGGGAAGTGTCCAACTGTGGATTGGAGACTTTCTATATGATCACAAGCAGGAAGGGGGTTGATTAATGGCACGAAATCGTCATGTGTACCTGTGACAGCGGGGTACCACAGGGCAGTGTATTGGGCCTGCTGTTGTTTGTTTGTTTCATAAATGACATGCCAGAAGCCGTACATTCCTCCATACAAATGTTTGCGGATGGTGCCAAGATATTTAGGGAAATTAAGAACCAAGCAGGCTGTGAAGAGATGAAGGATCTCTGTGAGCTTCAAGAATGGTCAAAGAAATGGCTCCTAAGATTCAATGTCACTAAGTGTAGGAGGATGCACCAGGGGTGTACCAATGGTAAGGAGGCGTATCATATGTCCCAACAAGACAAAGAAACTGCATTAATTGAGACTGAATGTATAAAGGACCTGGGTGTGTAGGTTGACAATGAACTGAAGTTATCGGGCAATTGAAAGAAGAAGGTGAACCAAGCAACTAAATTATTAGGTCTTATAAGAAGGTCGTTCAGGAATCTAGATGGCCCATCCCTCGTAATGATCTTCAAGAGCGAGGTGCTTCCCCACCTGGAGTACTGTCACCCCGTCTGGTCCCCGAGATATGCTAGGGACTGTCAGTTGACTGAAATTGTCCAAAGGAGGGCAACCAAATTGGTGTCTGCACCTCAGCTACCCTGAGAGATTAGAGCACCTGCAACTGCCTAGCTTATGCTACAGACAGGTTAGAGGGGACCTAATTGTAGTATATAAATCTCAAAGGGCACTACTCAGTAAAGTGTCCTTACCTGGAGCTGGCGAATGCTCGTCCCACAAGGGTCACATACATTCAGGAGCAAGTGCATGTCCAGTATTTCTCAGCAGTACGTAACAGAGATGTGACCTATCGCCCAAGAGGCTAACGAGCTGATCAGTGGTGAAGAGGATAAAAGTAAAAGTAAAACTGTTTAAGTAGTTGGGTATACACTATCTTGATACAGATATATACATGGTCAGTGAAGAATTTTCTCTGACCATTATAGTTATTCAAAAAGGTTTATACAGCATTTAGTTCTTTCTCACATCCTTTTGTCACCTCCGCTCTAGTTGTCCCCCCCACACACACACACATTCCACTTAACTTCACTCACATTTCTCATACAGGTCCTTTATTTTATATAAAGTACAGTATATTATTTCTAAGTGTCTCAATCCCTTCGGCATGTGACCACCCAGGCGCAGGTCACATGCCCACATCATGGCCTGGGGGGACAAAAATATAATAATAATAATAATATTAATATTAATATTAATAATAATAATAATAATAATAATAATAATAATAATAATAATAATAACAACACAATAATAATAATTAATACAAAATAAAAATAATAACCATAAATACCGGTACTGTAAATACAAAAAATAAATAAAGTCAGGAACGCGCATGCGTGCGTAGTGTCAACAAAGGCTGTAAGAGACTGCTCCTTAAAATTCGTATTTCTGACGAATTCAGAGCGTCTACCAATCCCAGCCTGTGCAGACAACTACAGTAAGACCCAGATATCAGCACAGTGGCATATATTTTTTTGTTACTTTTGGACTTTGTCATTTTTGGGGGATAAAACATCTGGTCCTACCACCCGATCCCTCTGAGCAAAGTTTTTCAAGTTTGCGCATGCGCAGTGTGATAGTGTGACGTCATTACCACTCCACCTGACTGGTGTTGCCAACGTGCCCTATGCCCGCCGTTAAACGCTCCCGTTCGTTGGAAACGGCGGCAGTGGGTGACAGTGATGCTGACGACTTTCTTCTTGAAGACACGTCAAAGAAGAAGCAGAAACCTCAGAAGTCAGGGTCTCCAGCAGGGGCCACGGCTCCCCCTTGCACCCCTTCTGGGGCTGTAGAGGGTGGACTCCTGTCATCGGGGTCCCCAAGTGAGCCTACATGTGGCTCAATGACCGACCCTCCGCCGACGATGGACATAGGGGATTCCCTTTGTCTCCCTGCCCCGTCGCGCCTTCGTCGTCTCGCCTTCCCTCGGGACTTGCCTCTGAGCACACGGACGACCTGGTTCTTCCGTCACTGCTCTCCACTTCAGGACTCAACACTTCGCCTCCGCCGAGGTCCCACAGCCGTGATAGTCACCACACAAATGGACGAGACGGTACGCCTGCTCACTCAGGTGGGCTTTCCTGCTCCCCAGGGGGAGGTGATGCTGAAGTTCACCATCATCACCCCAGAAACTCGTCGTACCAAGGTAATGGTTCGCCACGTACCCTGGGAGATCCCTATCGACGATCTTCGCCCTCTTCTCCCACAACTACTGGACATGGAACGCCGCATCAACCCGGTCTCCAAACGTCCATCCAACGAACTCATCGGCTGGTGGGTGGGCCCCCTCCCCCCGAAGGTGAATGTAGGACCAATTCACAACTGTCCTCTCGACCGATTTATCGGAACCCCGAAAATCTGTGGTCGTTGCCAATCGTGGAAACACCGCACCTGGGAGTGCACGAGGATGGTCGCCTGCGGTTTCTGTGCAGGTCCTCACGACACAGTGGAATGCAAATCGAAAATTCAGAACAAAATCCCAGTTATTCCACGGTGCGTCAATTGCCATGGCAGTCACCACGCCTGGAATGCCAATTGCCCACAGCGTCCTGGCACTCGCCCGGGGAAAACTTACCTTGTACCACCGCCCTCGTCTCTGACGAAGCCCCTGTCAACCAAACCTCAATCCTATCCACCACCGCCTCTTCCATCCACCAAGGATTTCCCATTGATCTCCTCTCCTCTACCACCCCCTCCATCACCCCTACCACCCATCCTTTCTCCCCTCCCTCCCTCTCCCTACCGTTCTTGGAACAAGGTCGTTGCCGGCCCTGCCACACAGTCACCACCATCTCCTGCCCACCCGGACCCCCGCTGTCTCTCACCAGCACCACCACCTCTTACTCAACTGAACCCTCACCGTCCCTCTCCGTCGCTACCACCACCACATGCCCAGTCGGGCCCTCGGCAATCCTCGCCGCCACCTCCAGCTCATGCACAGGTACACCAAGTTGGTTCTATGGAAACAATCACTCTCCGTCTGGATGGCCACTCCAAGCAAATCAACCTTCTCTCAGCCCAACTCGACTTGTTTGTGAAAACAATTGCGACATTGCAGAAGCAACAACAACTCATTCTGGACACCCTGACCCAACAGGGGCGCATTTTGCAAGCCCTGATGACCCGCCTCCTTCCATCTCCCGAGATGGAGGATCCATCCCTCGCTCTCCCACTCCTCCCTCTCCATTTCTCTCAACAGAATTTGGTACCTCCTCTGGAGCCCTGTCTAGCCCCTCCGACTCATCTCACACCGGAGGCCGTTCCCTCCTCTTCTTACAATGGAACATCCAGGGACTTAGACCTCGCCGGACAGACCTCGCCCAGTTTGTGCTCTCCCATCAAGTAGATGTTGCTCTACTTCAGGAAACCATCACAGACGATGTTACTCCACTCCGCCTCTCTGGCTATTCTGTTTACACCCTGCCTCGGTACCGTGGGCAGGCTCGTGGCCTCCTCACCCTTGTGCGTAACACCATTCCATCTGTTCGTCTCCCTTCACCTGACTCACATGGACCCCCGTCTGAATTACTTTCTGTCTCCCTTACTCTTGGTGACCGGACCCTTCGTGTAGTCAATGTTCATTTCAAGAGTGATTCTCTGGACCCCCAGGTTCTTCACGACCTCCATGATGGGGTTCCCACTATTGTTCTTGGCGACTTTAATGCCCGCCATCCCACTCTTACTCCGGATCATCCCACTCCATGTACCCTTAATGGATCACATCTCTCACAGTTTCTTAATGGGGATGATGATGTTCGCTTTCTTTGTCCTGACGATCCTACTCGCCTCCCCCATAGTTTCCTTGATGTTGGCTTACTATTGAACGGTCATACTTCCTTTCATCCTACCGTCTGCACCGAGCCTGCTCTGTATAGTGACCATCTTGCCGTTACTACCCATCTCAGGCTCTCCTTCTCTGCCCCGACATCAACTCCTTATCGATCCCCTCGCCTTCGTCTCACACAAGATGCTGTTCCTCCCTTTACCCAATACCTTTCTACCTGGGCGGATTCCTATGTTGTCCCTCAGTCCCTTGACTCTTACAGCGCTGATTTTGTTGATGCCGTGTATGACTCTGTCAATCGCGCTACCCCTCCACGCCCTCCCCGTCACCCCAGAAGTGCCACCAACTACTGGTATCGTATCCCTGCCATGAGACATCTCCGGCAGGTAACCCGTGATCTCCACTCTGCCATACGGAGGTCTCGGTCTCCAGAGGACTGGGAAGACTTCAAAAATTGGTGCTCCTTTGCAACTCAGGAGCGCCGTCGGATACGTGAGGCGGACTGGCTATCCTTCACGGGATCTCTATCGTTCCAGTCGTCACCCTCTTATGTATGGAATCGGATTAATGCTATACGGGGTACTCGACGGAGGCCTCCTCCCCACCCTGACCCCGCCTCCCTTGCCTGCTCTTTAATGGAGGACTGGGCACGAGCTTCCTCCCCTGAGGCACTTCCAGATCCAATGCAGGAGGCAGTGCAGGCCCGCATCGATGCGTCTGAGCCTGTTGTTCGTGCTGCTCTTACCTCCCCTGCCCCCACTGATCATCCCATCACACAGTTCGAGCTTGACAGTGCTCGTCGCTCTAGAAAAGACACCTCTCCTGGGGATGATCAGATAACCTACTCCGTCCTCAACGCCTGTACTAATATTCCTAACGGCCCCTTGCTTGCTCTCTACAATATGTCTTATGAACATGGGGTTCTCCCGTCCAACTGGAAAAATGCCACTATTATCCCCATCCCTAAGCCGGGAGATCCTGGGAAATATCGACCCATTAGTCTTACCTCCTGTGTTTGCAAGATGATGGAGAGGGTACTCCATCGTCGCCTTCTTCACACCATAGGCGGCTTCCACAACTCCCTCAATGGTTTCATTCAACATCGCAGCACAGCACACTCCATTGCTTCCTTTTATTGCAATCAGACTGCCCGCGTCTCCGTCTTCCTTGATATCAAGGGAGCCTTTGATACGGCTCAGCCTGCCCTCATTTTAGCTGAACTTGCACGGTTAGGGGTTAAAGGGAGACTTCTACAATGGATCGCCTCTTACCTCACTGGACGTCAGGCCCGGGTTCGCGTTGAAGGCTCTATGTCTCCTGTTCAAGAAATGAACCTCGGCACCCCTCAAGGTGGAGTCCTGAGTCCCACCTTGTTTAACACTCTCATGCACTCCATTGCATCACTCCCGTGGCCGACAGAAGTTGTCCACTCAGGATATGCCGACGATGTCCTCCTCCAAGCCCCTGACTACCTCAGCATGCAGGAAGCCCTTGATCTGGTCTCCAGAGAGTGTGATTCACTTGGTTTCCTTCTTTCAACTGCGAAAACAAAAGCCATGTGGCACGGTCGTGTTGTACCTCCACCCCTTTTCTTATCAAGAACGCCCTTGGACTGGGTTAATGAGACAAAATACCTGGGTGTGTATGTAACTCGCACACGTTGTCAGATCCCTGAAGTCCGCTATCTTCGAGACATATGTTTTCGGCGTCTCGCTCCCCTCTCTACCATGTGCAGGGGTTCCCTTGGTGCCAGCATCCCTGTACTTCTCACCATGTACAAGTCTTTTGTTCGTTCCTGTGTCGACTACGCCGCCCCTGCCCTCGTCAACATTAGTCGGACTGCTGTCAACCGTCTCGAAGTTATCCAGAGGAAAGCTGCTCGTATCATCCTTGGGGCTCCTCAGTGGACACGCTCTACTTCTCTATATAACGAACTTGGTCTTTCCCCCTTACAGGATCGTGTCCAGGAGTTTTACCTAAAAACTGCCGTTTCCATTCTACGGGATCCTAGGGGCAACTATGTCCAAACCAACTTGACTACTGCTGTCGAGACCGACCTCCATCTAGAAGACAGTGGCGAGGGTCACTCATCCGAGCCCTTCAGGAACACGACCTCCTGCCTGATATTGTTGTCACCCCTGCTGTTGGTTCGTCTCCTTCTCCCTGGCTGGATTTTCAACCTGAAGTGATTGCCCTCGGTGGACCGCTCCCGAAATCCCAGGTGAACCCTGTTATTCTCTGCAAATACCACCTCTCCAGGATCGCTCACTGGTCCCCAGGTAGGGTCGTCCTCTACACTGATGGTTCTGTTGACCCCGCTACAGGTAGGGCCGGGGCTGGTGTCTACATCTCCCGTCCTCATGCCCCTGAGCCTATCAAACTGTCTCTCAGAGTTTCTGACGGGGCATCCTCCACTCAGGCTGAACTAATAGCCCTCCTTGCTGCCCTTCTCGCTGAGGAAGAAGCAGATGGTTTCTGCCCCTTGCTTGTCTGCTGCGATTCCAGGTCTGCTCTCGACGGGATCGCATTTGGATCTGGGGAAAATAAGGACCTCATCCTCCGAATACGAGGGTTAACATCCACACTTCAGGATGAAGGCCGTCCTGTGACATTCCTATGGATACCTAGTCATGTCGGTATCTTGGGGAATGAGGCAGCAGATGACCTTGCCAAGACTGGCTGCAACAAGGCCACACCTGACTACGTTGTTCCTCGAACACTCTTACAGATTAGGACCCAAATCCGCCGCAAACAGAGAGAAGCTCGGGAAGCAGCCATCCCCCTGGACTCCCCGCCCACATGGTACGATGTCCTCCGTAAACTTCCTGACTTCTCGTACGTCTACGGGAAAGGGTCGCGGAAGGGGGACGTGATTGCTGCCCGTATCATCATTGGGTATGACTTTGCTTGGGAGATTGGTATCCCCACATCCCCTGAGCAACGCTCTTGTGCGTTATGCAGAAGACCCGACAGCCGCACCCTTATTCACTACCTCCTAAGATGTCCCCACACACAACGCTTCCGTGACGCCTGCTGGACCACCACTCCACGACCCCCTGACGGAGACACGATGATCCTCCCAATACTGGCCAGATATTTTGTAAATAATATTAATTATGTGATAAAGGAACATCCTTCCTTCCTTAGGCTTTAGTAAGCCCCTTTATAATATTTATACTGTATATACTTGTCACACTTGCCAGATGCTTCTGGTGTTATTGTACAGGGGTACCTAGTGACAGCACTAGGATCCCGCTTCCTCTATCAAGGAATAAACAATTGAAATTGAATTGAAATAAAGTCAGATCAGTAACCTGGGACTTGGTCACAATTTTTGTGATGCCATATAGCAGCAGGATCTACCATAAGACAGCACATTACACTTCCAATATCTTCCCAGACTGTAGTACCTCTCTGTTTGATAGCTGCCGACTACCACATATCAGCATTAGCGTAAATACTACTGTACCTGTATTAATAAAACTGCATACTGGAAAGTTCGCTACCTGTTTCATGGAGAAGATGAAGATTTTTTTGCATAGCAATGACATTTGCTATGATCTTGAGTGTGAGTGGAGTTGCATAATCATCCTTTTCTTCAACAACTTCTTTAAGAGTCACTGCTAGATCAGCATCAAGAAAGTCTGAATGTGAAGAGAAGAGATTATGATGTTTGAGAGGTAATTTTCTTCAGCACATTCACCGTCTTGCCCATTCTGTAATATTTATACATAAGCTTAGCTTATCCATATTATGTTGCAATTTTAACATACAGTACTGTCCAGTAATTTATTATGAGAAGCAGAGTTCACCAGTTATAAATTAATCACATGTGAGACCCACAATTTGATGAAAATTTATAGTGAAAATCAGCAGTACCGGGTATATATCTGCTATATATCAATTAACAAATCGTATATGTATAAAATTTCCCTTCAAATTCGAATTTCCATGTCCCATTCTCCTGGTCCTTAATTGGTTCATTTTTGTGTAAAGTTTTTCTTTAAGCTTCTTTTTTTTTTCCAGCCAATGGTTCTTCTATTTTATGTGTTCCACCACAGACCTCCCCCTTCATTTATCTAACTCTACCTGCCTCATTTATATTCTTACTGCTATTCTGCCACAGCTTGTTAAAATAATTATCATCACCATTTTACATGCCTGTGTGAGTTAGTCATTATTACCTGTTGGCATGATGTCCTGGTTGCCACCAGGCAAATTTGAAGCAAGTATTACAGCTGGATGCCCTTCCTATCACCAACCCACTTTTACAGAGTGAGAAATGGGCATTATCTGTAGGACTTCCAAGTACGGTACCCTCTTAGTTGGCAAGGCAGAGTAGCAACTTCCTGAGTTAATTAAAGATTATCCATCTCCCTGAGATATCATTATTCTGAAGTTCTTTACTTTTAATACCTCATCTATATCTATCAATCTCTTGACTGTATTCTTCTTCCTCAGTGTCTGCTTTCCCTTGTTTTTCCAATTCCAACTTCAGTTCCCCTTTCCCTGACTCTTCTGTCTTGTAAAAATATTTAATTCACAAACCAAGTCGTACAGATGCTATGTAGCGACCTATGACTCATCATTCCTAATATTACTTTTGCATCCACCACGTGTCTTCTAATCTCCTTGCCAACTGTTATATAATCTATCAGACTTTATGTGTAACTTAAATTTATAAAGTACAGTATGCTGTAAAAAGCAATGCCCATGGTAAGCAAAGACTCTTCCTGTATCCTGGTGTACAGCAGATAATAATATACCTGACATGTATGGAAGGTGAAGAAAATATTCATCAATCTAAATTCTATACATACTGCAAAATCAAGAAAAGATCCATACAGTTCTCTTTATTGAAGTCAGCGGAGTAGCTCATATACCACAATGCCCTCACTCCAGCAAACAGGGTTGCAGAGTAAGTTGGTGAGTGAAAGGTTTCCAAAGAGGGTAACCTGGTCCAAAAATCCACTGTATCTATCCAATCTGCTTCATTAACCCAGTCTTGCAACCAGTGCTCAGAGGAGTTCTTCAGTAAGCCCCGACACTGTAGATAGTGTTGACACATTGCTTTTCCAATCTGAAAAGAAATTTCAAAATTTCAAAGTCCTTTATGGCATTTTATCCTTTTTTTAAACCAGCTGGTTTAATTATGATATGCCCAGTATATTTACAAAACATGAGGCACTTTGCATGACAAGACCATGGGTCGATAAATTTGTTTTCTTTGTCTCCAGATAGCTCAATCCAAACTCTATACTAATACTAGAATGACATTATGTGTCGGATTTTCGAAATGACAGGGGTAAGTCTGCCACATGATGTCACTCTAGTATTATAGAGCATGGACTGAGCTATCTGGAGACATAGACAACATTTTTTCGACCCATGGTGGGCTCGCTCTTGTCATGCGGAGCGCTTCATATAAAAGTGCTTTGAAAGTACTGTATGTAGATTCTATGATTATTGAGCATACAATCAAAATTCCATAAGTAATGCATCTCCCAAGGTATTTACATGCTTCAATACCGACCAGGATTAATCCAGTAGAAAAATATGAACTTGATGGACACTTTTTGAGTATCTCATATCAGTGGATGCTTGTGTCCTGCATCATGCTTGAGTCCACCTAGTCCACACAAAAGTAAGGCAAATTCACTTACATTTCGCACACTTTTCCTTTAATAAAAAAAAAAAAAAAAAAAATCACCTGAAAACATGGTAGATGAAACAGGGTGTTATGAAAATAAAGTAGCAGACAGGAAGAAAAGTTTCACATGTTTAAACAAGGTTCCTATAATTCACATATTTTAAGTCATTTTAATTATGAAGTAATTCAGACAATTTAACATAAAGCTTGACTACATGTATCAGTAATAAGCAATACTGTACTGTACAATATCAAAACATGGTATGAAAAGCAAATGGGATCAGGCTCTTATTACTGGGTTTGTCACGCTCACTTCCATTACAGTAACTCCTATAAATACTAAGAATCAGAACAGTATAGTGTATTAACTTAAACGCTCATCTACTCATCTACTCCAGTCTATTTAAAAAGCACTGCAGTGGTTCCCAAAAATGTCACTCAAAAGTTAGAAAATTTTAAATTAGTTTTTTCCCTTATTTTGAATAAACATGAGGATTTAATTAAATTTCCAACAATTTGTGTGTGCATATGGTGGAAAAACAGGTGGAGTGTTCCACCAGCCATCTTGAATGCATTTGCCAATCATAGGGTCAATGTCACTTGTCACACATCTTTTGTTAAACTAGGACTGTTTCACCATACTCCTTGTGTTATAGCTTCTTTGATTTGTTTATGCCTTGTTTGCACTAGTTCTGTGTGTGTTACTATGGCTCCCAAGTACATGTGCCTAACTTAACACATATTCCAGACCTTTGCTCTCAACACAGTAATGTATTTAGCTTCTTTTAATAGCGGCAAGGAATGATACAAGTGAAGTATCAATAAAAACTTACAGTTCATTCCAGTAAAAACTATGAAAATAAGGAGTAGATTTTTTAAAACAAACATTAGAAATTATTACAAATGAATACATCAATTCATATTCAGCAGCTGCATCCCCTTATAGTACTGTATTACCTTCATTTGTCTATATCGTCATCATCATACTGTATATACATAAACAATTTATCATTCTCAACAAAATGGAGTAAAAGTTGTATTCCTAACCTTACAAAATAATACAGGGTAATAAAAAAAAAGTATAAAATCACATTTTACTGCTGAGGGGACAAGATGACTGATCTACAAAATTCACTACTAAACACTCCCTGACAAACCCAACCATTGCCAAAGCCATCACGCATTTTAACACAAATGTTAAATCACCTAAAGTGATTCATAAGAAGACAGATAGGAAAAGCTTAAGAGAGATTAAACAGTTTGGGGCCACTGGTGATATGTGTTGAGTTGAAGTATAAGGTTCTGAGGGGCAAATGAACTCTTTCTGGCTAAGAGTTCAAATCCCTGATTTGATCATATGTTGGTGGGCAAGAAAGTGTTCTCCAATAATTAATTCACACTGATCCATAAGGAAACAACTGTATTTTCTCTAGTAAGACAAGCCAAAGCCTCCTTGACATGACAGGGTCTGCCAGGGAAGTTTTTGTTGATGAAATCACATAGGTCATTTGTCATTGACTAAAACAATAAATACTATTTGATGAACATTGAACTTTTGTAAAAAATAACATAACTTTAAAGTTCCTCACTCAATACTCACATGTGTAAATGATCTCGTAAGTGAGTTAGGTGGGGAAGTGGTGACAGAAAGAGCTTGAAGGTGTCCATAGATCTTACCAATAATGCTGCTACGCTGTAATATGCAAAAAGTCCTAATCAAAAATCTCCATTATGAATTCATTTAACCTCTGCAATACTGAAAATCTGCATTTACCTCCATAAAAAAACTTCATATCCAACTATTTCACTCCAATTTGAACTGCTGTTTTGATGGATATTAATTTGTCTAAATTAAAAATTTTCATGAGGTTTATTTGACTACCCTAATATCATATTAACAGGAATAAGGTATTTTTCCATTTCACTTAATTCATAAGAATTATTTATGAAAAAGTTAACATAAAGGACAAAATTTATAGAATCATTTGACTATTTTCTTCAAGTTGGGTAAGATGTTATGATAGCAATCGAGGCTGTCCTGTATTACAGCTTAACATAAAGTAAAGAGTAAAAAAAAAAATATAATAATTAATCAGTCTGACTTTGCTGTAAGATGAGAAAATAAAGCTTACAGTATAATCAGTCTTTGTAGAGGCATGGAAGCGCATACAGTGGTCCCTCGGTTAACGAGCACAATTCGTTCCAGAAGGTTGCTCGTTAACCGAAAAACTCGTTAACCAAAACCATTGTTTCAGTGGGTTTTTGGGTAATTGGTTCCAGCTCACCGAAAATTGCCTAAAATCAACAAAAAAGGTAGTAAAGTACACTTACTTTGAGGTATGTATGTAGAAGGCTCCTGGATGATGATGATGATGGGAATTAGAATGGGGGTGGAGGAGAAGGGAGAAGAGAAGGCATTGAGGTGGAAGAGAAGTCACCCCATGGTGCCATTTCACCCATAAAATTTTAGTTCTCTTGGTGTAATTCAAGATTATTTTCTTTAAATCAACACTGCACTGCATTATATATTGTCAATATGTAAAATAAATTTCATATTGACCAAGAATTTGCTTGGAAACACAGAAAAAAAGCTTTTAGTTGAAGAGAGTCTCAAGCAAGATGTTACCTCCACTGAAAAGACAGAGACTGACGCCTGCATGGTGTGTTGACAGGCTGTTTGGCGTGCAAAAAACTAGCTTCCTATACTTCAATTATGTTCAATAATTGTTAAAATGACTAAAAAATTGAATTTAAAACTTTTAAAATTATTGAATAGTACAAACTTCTTGATATTTACTAAAATAGTAAGGAATTTAAGCCCTTGAACCGATTACTGTATTGACGGACTAATACTACAGCTGGCGGACCGCCAAATGCAAGCAAAAACATGTGGAGGGGCGCTCATTAAAAACTCGTTAATCGAGGGATTGCTCGTTAACCGAAGTTAAGAATCTAATGGAAGGCAATTCGTTAACCGAAATCTCGTTAACCGAGGGATCACTGTATATAAAAATGAAAACTTGTGCAAAGACATAGATGTATGGAGGTAACTTTTCTGTGGTCAACATGATGGACTATGTATAATATTTCTTCAAATTAAATACTGATTTCCTAATGTTATGGACAGGAAGGTACAATACAGTATTATCAAGTACAGTACTGTACAACACATACCTTTTCTTCAATGAACCATTCATCAGCATATTCCTGTCGAAGCTCCACTGTGCTTCCTGTTAAATATAAATAAGAGGCAAAAAAAAAAATAAATAAATAATATATAATATATATATATATATATATATATATATATACGAATTACAGTACAGGTACTGCTGACGGAAGTAAAAACCACCATTTGTAATTTCCCGTGTCTTGACAAGGTAACAACTTCAAACTCTAAATAACTGCAGCAAAATTAATAGCAAAAGGTCATTTCTGCATATTGAATAATTCTTTATACAACTCAAAAAAATCTGCTTGTCATAATTATATAACATTTATTCCAGAATTTCCACATGTAACCTCATACTGTACAGTATAATCCACCTTATATCAATCTTAACATATAAAGTCGCCATTCTGTACTGTGACAGACAAACTAATGAGGAAAATCCTTTACATGCTTACATACAATATTACTGATGGGTCTTATGGCAGTACAAGATGTGATGCTGCTCACAGCGCTCTGAATGGAGGAAACACTTGAGCACATGACCCTTAATAAGGAATTGACTATGCAGGCTAAAATTGGGAGAATGAATTTTAGTTTTAAAGATTGTTTTTCTTTTAAGTGAAACAAAATACTGTACAATACTAAACTAACCTCCTTCTGATATGAGTGGAACTTGGCACCTATGATTTCTGACCTGGTTACCAACTGCTGCTCCCCTGAAATATATTTTGACATAACATAGTACCCTAATAAAAAATGGAATTATAAGTACTGTATAGTATAAAGAAAAATAGTCTATATTCTTTAAACTAAATCTGAAGAAGTTGCAGATTTCATGTTGAATTAAATTACAGTATTAAGTAGGTTATACCAAGCATACTGGTTAAATGAACACTTACAGAACAGTAAAATAGAGAGCAACTCACAGTAAAAATGTAGTTGCAAAACCCAGCTTGCTAACCACTCTTGATAATATATGAGACATGATTTGAGCTGATAATGGAATACAATGTTTGAGGCTTTATTCTAACAATAAGGAATCTTGGTGGCTCGGTCATGGGTCCATTACAATCACTGGAACAAAATACTGTATGTTAAATAACATTCACATATTCGATAGTACACCTGCATCAATAGTGTTTTACAAAGGCAGTATAAATGCACTAACACTTAATGAAAAAATAAATAAAAATCACAAGGAAAAACACACAACACACAATGTTATAAATTATGTAACAATGAACTAGAAAATTTAGAACCTGTTCAGTGTGTGTGCAGTAAGGGTGCACCAAACCTGCGAATTTGATACATATTGCTTCCCAGGACTGATACATTGAATCATTACATACAGTAGGCCTTTCATTTGCTTACCAAAATTTCTGACAGATGGAGAAATTTTCAGACAAAATCCTGTCAGATATTGCTGGGTGGGGTGGGGTGGGGGGGGTAATTGTTCCCTCATCCCTCCTTCTGGTTATCCCACAGTTTAAACAACTGACTGGTTAGCAGTTAGAATAATCAATAAAAAAATTATGAAAATTGGAGATATAACAGCATTTATTCTATACAAAAAGTTTCTAAACTATCTGGTTCCCGTAATCTCCAGGAATAGCAATTTTCATATTATTTTGCTGATGTAGTCACATCTGAAACTTCACTGAGTGACATCGTTCCGACCGATTATAAGAATGTTAACACTTTGGCGGGCCGTCATAAAAAAAAAAAAGTCTTCCCATTCTCGCCACATAACTGTGGTGGACATGAGGTGTTAAGATAACTGCCCTGTGGGCCTGCAAGCATTGTGAGTCCCAAAGATATACCACAGTGAACAGGCGCTACCAGCTCTTTCATGAATTCACTCGTATTTTCATACGTTGCTGTTAGATTCAACTTCGTTTGTATAATTGTATTATAGAGCAATCATCTGTGAAGAAATACTGCACACACCTTGAGTGGTGGCAGCATGCCCCCCATGGAGCCCCAAAACTGTTAATAGACATATTTTATGGCTCGGAATGCTTCTATTCCATACACACAAAGAAATAGCAACTTTAACCAAATTTTTTAATGATAATAATTTATTTATAATGTTACAAATATCCCCAAAATGGCAAGAATTTGAAATTTCACAATATCAAATTGGCAGTTTTTCCTAAATAACTTTCATACACACGGACACCAACTTACCAGCTACGGCTAAAGTATACGATTTATCTGAGATAAGATGAATCATCCTAACCTACCATAATTATCTTTGGTTAGGTTATGTAGGTTAGCCTGGATTAGGTAGGTAGGTTTAGGTGGTCCATCTTATCTTGAATAAATCATACTGTATAACATAGCAGTAGCTGATAACTCGATCCTGTGTATGAAGCAGTTCGCACAAAGAGATGGAGAGAATGTATTTATTTATAACAAGAAGGAAAACAAATTTACAAAAACTGGAAATGTTCTATCGTGTTGTGGAATGTTCATGAGGTAAGAAAGAAGTTATATTTTATAGAATTTTGTTTCTGAAGTCCCTGGTTAGCACAGGACAATGACCTAGAGTCTAGTTCATTGTCCTGTCTAGGTCCTAGACTATTACTGCAAATTTGCAAGTGATAAAATAGTTCCCCCTTTTCACACTTTTACCTAAAACTATTGGCAAGCAACTGACTGTACTAATGTCAGACCTCCAAAAGCAAGACTGACAAAGCACTGATACCTGACTTCAAGAATACTTTTGGTAATTTCTAAGAACAGCACAAAGAACAGCCGTTTGATTATGTTTTTTTTCCACAGATGTACCTATCATTAAAATGTAGTAAGTATTTGAAAAGAGGTGACAACTTGTTATTTTAATTATAAGTATTTTTCATATTTATATTTTTTCTCTATCTACAACTATAAATCACCTGTAGTGGGCAGGGCTTGGAGGATAAGAGAAATTGCAGGGTAAAACATGGTGAAAAACTGATCATATGACACTAAAATGATGTCTCTACATGCTTTGTACGTGAATAAATTAATTATTTACCTAAACACTCCTCCGATAAATCTGCGGAATCAACGCGTGTTCTCACCTGCTCTTCCTGTTTACAACCGACCCACTTGGTCCAAGTGTACACTCACGTCCAGAAAAAAAAAACGTAAAATTACACCATGATACTTCAACAGAGTTGCCTTCGTTGGTACCAGATATCATAATTAGTACTTTCTGTCTAATATGCCCCCCCCACGGCTAGGCAGTTAGGTAAGGTTAAGGCTAATATTGACGAGAAATAAGCCGGAGTTATTTGCTTTGATATTTCTTTTCTTATCTAACTATATTTTCATTGAGTTTTGATATGATATTCATTTCTTGGGAAAATGATTTGTTTGGTAGATAATTAGGCACACACTACTTTGTCTTTCTCGGCAGTAATGCCTCATCCCAGATGTAAACAGCCAATCATATTGAAACATTTCAAAACACTCTGCCGCGCTCTCTGCTGCGCTAGTTCCAAATTTCACTTTGGCATCCATCCCTCCAAAAGTGACTGCCCAGACAGCAAGAAGCCTTGTGTTTTCCAACCAGTGAGGAATTGGTTCCAGTATAAGAAAAAGCAAATTGATACGGCCGTGGCTCGCCACTTGCCCCCGTCTCAGTAATAGTAAGTTCGCCCATGGCAGGTGTTTAGTTATGCCAGGTTAGGTTAACTTAAAGTTAGGTTAGGTTAAAATTATAAATTACCACTTTTTAACACATTTGCCCAAACTACGACAGTGTTCACAAAAAAAAAGTGAAATTTGTTTTTAAAATAATTTTCTATGAAAAATCGGCAGCAGGTATCTTGTCAATAATTACCAAGGTTAGGTTGGTTTCTTTAGTTGGTGAGGTAGGTTCTAGTAAATGTTGCCTCTTTTAAAATACTTACTATATTGATTAGAACATGTGGAAAAAATGACAGAACTCAAACAACTCCTTCTGGTGGTATGGCTGTTCTCAGAATTTACCTAATTTCATTGGTCTACGTACCATGCCATATTACATGTTGTGATTCACATCAACAATAATACTGAGTAACTTGCATAGTAGTTACATGGTAATGTAATATTCATTTTGATTTTCTGGGAGCTGTGCAAGCATTAAATATATACAGAGACAACTCACTTTTATTAATTTATGTAATGATATACCCACAAATAATATTTCATCCACTACTGTTTATCACCAAAATCACGTTTACAAAATTCAATAGAACATATTTTACTACAACTGACGTAATCACGTAATATCGTGTTGTCTAAACGTCTCTTCCTGAAGATCACTATACGAGTACTGCAGCAGCCAGTGTTTACACCAGGGATCAGCTGACCGCCGCGCCTGCGCTGTGAATTAATATCCTGCCAGTGTTACCACATCCCGAGTACAAAAGTTGCATCACTGATTGTATCAAGGGTGGCATAGACCATAAATTAGGCAAATTACTGTACTTCTGTCCATCCTAAGGTAGAAATGAAATAAAGTATGAAATTTAGTATGAGGAATACCTAAGTGGCATTCCATGATGCCCCTTGATAAATTTTTGTCACGCAAAAGCCTTGAAAAGAAATACAGTATATTATTGAGCTATAAATAGGAATTAGAATACATTTCCTGATACAATATCATCGCTGAGTTAGGTACTGGAAAGTGTGTGATTGTTGCATTTAAAATCAACTTATTCGGTATTTAGTAGTGGGGCATTATTTATGCCATAGTCCCTGTGGGTATTTCAGAATCAATGATGTTAAGCATCAGTTCGTGAAATAAGACCATTCTTTGAGATAGTGATTCATTCCATTGTTGACCTGATGTATTAAAAAAATAGCTACGAGAGAATGTGGCATATTAAATTACTATTAATTAATCACCATTTAACAATATGGAACTTTCAACATACCATCGATAAAAGACCTCTTGTTAATCTCTAAGTTATTGAGCGTAACCTACACTATGAGAATGTTCAGTAAGACCTTGAAAGTTAGTTATTGTGACCTTGGGCTCTGGCTACAGTGGCGTATTTACTGTGCTGCAGGATGGCGACGCTCCTCACTCTCCACCTTCGACCAGCATTACAACGTTCCTGCCGCGGCAATCTCTCCCATTTACGCTCCTCAGTCGCTAGAGCAATGTCTGTAAAGGTATGGCATAAAATGTAAGGCAAATTCTAATTACAAATAGTGTGTTGAGGAGGTAGACATTGCACTGTATCAGCGTTATAATACAGTATCAAATATGTCAAGACTTCCTTCCTTTGGTGATAACACAGTCCGGCTCTTGCCACCTCCTGTTTGCTACCGGGAATAACATCCGGTTTGTGTGTGCTTTGCAGTTATTTTTAAAGGTTGCATTTAGTAATTAGGTTTATTATTGTACAGTACCCCCTCAATATAATACAGTATAGACGTATACAGTAGTACCAAAGAGTTTTGCTTTACACAATTTGATTACTAAAGCCAGATTAAGTGGATATTTCATGACAGGAAACTAGCAGTTTGTGACGGCAAAGAGTAAGCGCATTCAAGACCAGACTTGACCAACACTGGCACAAGTACAGATACCTGTATTTAATACTGTATAATGAAGCCAATACTCTCCAACAGTGCATAACAGGTATATGACCGATTGCCCAAGCGACTAACAGGTTGATCAGTGGCGAAGAGGATAACATGAAAATTTTTGATTATGTAAACAGGCTGTGGCACCCTGTATAGTGGTGAAAAGTGAAAAACAATATCAAGAATATAAAAAAAAAATAATCATAAACTCAGTAATAGTCTAGATAATGGACTTGTGATCAGCAACTGTAGCAAAAATTCTAAAGAAGAAAACTTGTTTCTTAACTCTAGAATATCAATTAATGTTTGGAGGAATTGCAAGTTTCATTGTATAGAATTCTTTCCCAAGTTCGGTATTATTGCAGTTTCGGTCAATACACTGTAGACTGTTTTAACCATCCCCAACCTTTAGATCTCCTTATCTGGAGTATTTCTAACCCCGTTTCAACCAGGGGGCAAAGAATAATAACTTCAGAAATTAATTTACAAGTTTTTCCATAATTTTACAACAGTATGGCTGCTCATTACTTATGCGTGTGTTCTTGAGTCTTGTGGTTAGGTTGGAGGGGAACAATACTGTACATGGTCGACTATTCTAAGCATCCCCAACCTTCAGATCTCCTTATTTGGAGTATTTCTAACCCCATTTCAACTAGAGAGCAAAGAATAATAATGTCAGAAATGAATTTTAAAGTTTTTCCATACTTGGGGGGGGGGGGTGGGGGGAATAACTCTAAAACGGGTACTTTCCCCCGGAAATAAAAGTCAAATTCGATTAAATCGCACCAAAATACACAGGATAAACTAATTTTTAAACTACTAGGGCATATTGGCCCAAACTGCAATTTTACCAGTTCCTTGTGAGTTGGTTCTCTAAGTTAGACCAGCAGTTCTCAATTGTTTACATCTTACATGATACCAACCTTGGGTCCACCAAGGTAAAAACAAAGCTCCACCTTTTCCATGAACTGTATATTTATTTTTACATGTATTTTAGTGATATATTAAACATTGGCATGCATGTCAATTCTTAGGGTAATGCTTGAAATACTGATTTGAAGTGCTAATTGAAGTTGAGATAACTCGAGATAATAATCTCTGGGAAAAGCTGTACACAACTTTACATATCATATATGGTAAATATAAAGATCATTAGCGCTGTTTATTACAAAGGCCTGCAGTAAGTACGGATACGTAATGCCTCTGGCTGACTTGTGGTCCAGTGAATTAAGAAGAAACACATCTGTGCAGTGAAATTATAAGAACTTAATACTAAATTCATATTATTGTACAGGTACAGTAATTCGTGGTGTAGATTAATTTAGTCTTTTTCTCTTCTATTTTTAATTTCTTTTTACTCTAATGAGAAAAAAAATGCTAATACGTAACTGCATGGTATTGTACAGTACTTGTAAAGTATTTAATTGCCTGTACTGTACTATATGTACTAGTGTAGGTAATACCAGTGATGTTTTAGCACAACAAAATTTAACAACTACTGTATCTACTTTAAAGTATATTTCCTGTAATAAAGTTAGATTAATTCTTGACAGGTTGGTGATGAGCTTCCTAGTGTGGACCTCTTTGAAGAGACTCCAGCCAATAACGTCAATACCCGTGACCTCTGTGCTGGCCGCAAGGTGCTCATCTTTGCTGTTCCAGGAGCATTTACACCTGGATGTTCCAAGGTTTGTTATAATCTTCGAATTTTTAGCTCTTCAAATCTTTATATTAGGAGGGAAGGCAGTATTGTAGCAGTAGAAAGTTGTATAGTAATTTTTCGTATAAGTAATAAGAGGTGACGTGCTAATTTTTTTAAAGTTACTTGTAAAATTTTCTGAAAAATTTAGGAATAAAAGCTTTCACATAAATGTCTAGAAGGGCTCCACATCCTAATTTATTTTTTTATGCATAGACTCCAAATACTGTATAGTAAGGAGGTAAATAAAAACAAACCATCACTCAACTATGTTTGATTTGAGCAGGAATGAATATTGACACTGCACAGTATATGTACTGTACTCAGGTTGGGCAGTACATATTAGTACTATGTGACTGCTAAATCAGATACTGGTATATATATAGTTGACTTGTAGTTTTTATATACCTTGTATTTATTAAGCCTCAAAGGCCATAGCATACTAGCTTTTTCCGAAGTAAATTTGGAATACAGGTACAGTAATTTTTTTTTATTGGTTCTCCACAAGATTTGGTTTCTTTGTATTAAAATAAACATTTGAGTGAAAATCCTGAAAAAATCGGTTCTTCTATATATATTCACATCTCTGAGAACAAACTGTTTGTACTCACCCCTGAAGATGTGAATTATTGGGAACTCATTTCTTTTTCCTTGTGGTTATCAGCATATACCTGGATCACGCACACCTACAGTGATTTATTTGCATATATATATATATATATATATATATATATATATATATATATATATATATATATATATATATATATATATATATATATATATATATATATATATATATATATATATATATATATATATTGAAAAATTAACTAAAGTTACAGTATACTACAGTAATAAAGATAAAAAATTGAGCTATAGAAGCATCTTTGGCAAATTTTAAGGAAAAGATACATAAGGCTGTTAGAAAAGTTCAGTATGATAGGCTACAAAATGTATGGAGTAAACAGGATACTGTACTGGAACAGTTTGATGTCTACTTTTTACTTCAACACAGTTAGTTTTTCCTAATACCTGTAAATGTTTAAAATCAGAGAGGTTGTAAGAAATGATATTAAAGAACCTGACAAGAGAGGATGCAAGAGACCATGCAACGTGGGAAGCTGCCACCAGGTAATCGTAGCTAACCTATGCAAGCATGGAAAATGCCCACACACTATAATACAGTAGAAGTAATTGTGAAATGATTATACAGTAGTCCATTTGTATCAGTAATTGTTACTAACTGATGCTCCCCAGAGCTACCACTCTATACATTATTGCTGATGGCATCTTGTCCCAGTTGCCATTAGCAAATTTGAAGCAAGATTTACAACTGTCAAGCATCAGTCTTTTGTGAGAGTTGCTAGTGGGTCAAACAAAATTTTTTTAATACTTTACATCTTTGAGAGATTTTTTGTCTGCTTCTACAGGATCCTTTCCCCTATCTGATATTTATACCCTGTAGAACATGTACAGTAGTTTCGTATGGCACAGTTATGTGTTTGACTTGATACAAGAGCTCTATGACTGTATTTTTTTAAGGATGAAACTGTTCGTGATTTATTGTTTATGAAATCTTTTCAGACTCATTTGCCAGGTTATGTAAAGCAAGCTGATGACATTAAAGCTAAGGGCATTCAAGAGATCGCTTGTGTGGCAGTAAATGATCCATTTGTGATGTCAGCTTGGGGTGAACGTCATAATACAGGAGATAAGGTAATATGGATAGCTGACCTTTTACTAAAATATACAACTTGGTACTGCGCTCTATGCTTCTTACTTTTAGACATTTAACTCAAATTATTAATACACATTCAAGTTTGTAAAGTTACTTGGGTGTATATATTTATATGGTGCATTAAGTTTTCTCAAAATGTCTCTCAATGTATCTTGAAAATTTATCATGTGTTAATTGATTTAATACATATTGTGTTAGTATTTAATTTAATTAAATTCTTAAAGGTTTACTTTATTTATTTTTATTCCCTTTTGATTTACTCCACTTTTTTTTGTTTGGTTTACGCCTAGAACCTGGATATTAAAGTAAATTAAGAGACGGCGTAACAGTTTTGGCATGTATTATAATATAAAGTACAGGTACAATATGCATAGGATTTTTGCCAGTGTATGTCCAAAGTTAGAATGCTAGATTGTGCACAGATTAATTAAAGTATATCCCGATTATTACTGTAATTTCAAGTTAGTGATGGTCGATATAGTGTCTTTTGCTGTGGAAGAATGATCCTCACTTATTTGATTATGTTTATGCAGGACTCTTTAGATGGCATTCTGTGAAATATGGTGTGATATTTCATTCATTCATTTCAAAATTAACAAAATCTTTCCAAATCATATACTGGGGCTGTTCTCTTAATTTGTCATACAGTTAGGGGCAAGGTAGATGGGGAAAATTCTGTTGTGTAATGAAAAATTACTTTATAATTTCACATTTGTACAACACCAGGGGAGTCCTGTCTTAAGAGTTTCAGATACTTAGTTAGTTCCAGCATTATTCAGATTTTTAACTCTTACCGAAATAATGCTGAGATTCACAACTTATTATTCGGTTTATTAAACATATCAACTCAATCCTTTCCCACAGGTTCGCATGCTTGCTGATACTAATGGAGAATTTACCAAAGCACTCGGATTGGATCAAGATTTAGCTGTTTTAGGGGGCCTGAGATCCAAACGTTACTCTCTGATTGTTGAAGATGGTAAGGTCACCCAGCTCAATGTAGAACCAGATGGAAAAGGGCTTACTTGTTCATTGGCAGAAAATACTTTGGCTAAACTGTAGATCAGTTGATTAAGCAATTTTTTCTGTTCCACCAATATTCATGAAGTAACATATTACCGGTGTTGTAAAGGTATCGTGAGAATAATTATCCTGTACATTTAAATACAATATACCTGTAGAATGACTATAATTTGATTCTCTATATTTATATAAACATGTGCACTTCCTGACAATAGTTTTTAGTTTACAGTACTGGTATAAATTATTTACCAAATATTGCATACATAATCAAATTAATTTTGGGCATTACACAGTTTAGTTCATGATACTATGTTAACTATACAATATATATATATATATATATATATATATATATATATATATATATATATATATATATATATTTTATCAGCTCGCTGTCACAAGAAAGACTTCTCAAGGATGAGTATCAAATACTTGTGATGGTTCATTGCTCTTACCCCGGTACTCCCTTTTTAAAACTTGTGTGGACCTGCACAGGATGTCGTTGCTCCCATCTAGATACTTTAATTCTTGAAAGTAACAGTACTGTATATTGATTCATACTATTTCTTACAGTAATCAAATGAAAACTCCTTAAATTTTATTTTATCTAAATTATATCCATGTACTCTTATGACTTAACGTATATTTTATACAGTACAAGCATATTTTACAAAGTGACTCTGTGCTCCCGACTTGACAAATTTTCTGATAATTTAGTTTGTTAACTAAAACAAATTTTGTCATCACAAAGTCACATAACTAGATAATTTTTCAGACATTCATTTCTTCACAAGTTATTTTAAAACCTGGGATGGAAAGGATCAGTTCTGAATTTAGTGTTGCTCAGGTTTGAAAAGAGATCTGTTATGTTAGAAACTCATCTCCTTAAGTGTTTTATGTCATGAATGTGAATCATGTTCAAGATTTAACCAAAGTTACCATTTTTGCTGCATGTAAATATTGCTGAAAATTGTTTCTTCTAAAATTATTGTAAATTCATAATTCTTGGTGGGAGAAACATAGCTCTCTTGACTAACACATTTTAGAATGACATTTCTTTTTATAGCAATTTCCCTGGTACAGTATGATGTTGTCCAAGGCACTGTTAACTGAGACAAAAAGGTCTTTTATATAAATTTAGTTGAAAATTTTTACAGGCTTTGTTATGGGTTGTTTTTCCTTTTTTACCCAATTGAAATTTATCCTCGGAAAATTGCCTTTTATGTGTACAAAACCTTAATACCTTCATAAAAAATACTGTATGGATAAGCCCGGATAAAACTAAATTGGCATAAAAATTCTAGGTATGGAATGAATGAATATGCATTGTAGTATTCTGTTAATAAAAATTTATTCCAATTTGTTCTAAAATGTTTTTGTACTTGTAAAACTTCCAAGCAGACTGTACCCTATTGTTGAATATCCTCTTAAATTTTGATTGCAACTGTATTTTCATTTTCATGCAATCCTTCTGTGACATTAAGGGGAAGAGGAATACGCTGTCAAAGACCTTTCAACAATCAAAGAATGTCCTCCTCTGAAGACCTTATTAATCCTTTAAACATAATAGGTACCACAAAGTTTCCTCTGCTTGTGGTATCCCTGACATGTATCATGGTTGCAAACACCCTCTGGCATTGAGCTAGCACAAGTAACCTTTGATCTTTAAATGAATAATACTGTATCAGTGGAGTTTCTTGATAACTGAATAAAATCTAGTGATGTGGAAATGTAGTTAGGATGAAGAAATTATACTGTACCCTAAACTTCACTTGCTAGGAGTATGATCCCCTGAACTTTGTTAGCTAGAGGGTACAAGAAGAATAATTTGAAGGATTGATTCCGACTACATCAGGTTTCCAATGTAATGGGTGAACTGAAAATATCAGGTTAGGATTCATGTCTGACTAACTTTTGACTCCATACAGTAGTGCAGATAAAAAATTGTTGTACAGGTACTATAATTAACATGCTTTATAAGACTAATCTTAAATGCTCATATAAATTTTGAGTAATGTTTAAAAGAGTATTGGTAAACTTTAACATAAACATTACAATAAAGTCCTTGTAGACTCAAAGTGGTCAACTGGTTCAGTAGACAGATCTAAGGCTGCACTGTACTGTACATGTAATCCTAACGACCTAAATCAAAATTGTTACCCGATACTTTTTAACTTATTATTATAACAGTGGGAAACAACATAAATATAACTCATAGAAATAACAAAGGTATAACAAAAAAACAAACCAACATTATTTGAATCGCAAGAAAACCTTAAACTTTACATCAGAGAAGAATTTACTCCCAGTAAAGCATTTCTTATAGTGTAAGGGCACCTTTTCAGAGATGTTAACTGTTACAGGCAAACTTGCTGCTCTTTAGGTAAGTGCACTACAAGATAATTACTACAAAGACTAAAATAAAAAGATTACTTCAGCTAATAACTAATGGCATGGCACATATGGAATTACAAATATGTATTGAACTGTAATACAGTGCAATTTATCTAATTACTGTACATTAATACAATCACTGTACCTACATTACATTATCACAGTGTGGTCACTAGCAAGGGTGGTATGGTGTGAAGAGATTGTAGACATTGACCAGGACGAAAGTTGTAACGGCCCCCACTGCTGACCCAGCTTGAGTAACTGCCCCACACCAGAAGAGAGCTCGAGCACCTTCCTCACGCATCTGATTGGCAATCTCTACACGGACGAACGTCATCACACCCGTAAATGTAATCCACGCTACTACCTGTGTTATGAAGAAACAAAGTTCTCAATACTGTACAATATCTCAGGAAGAGTTCAGTGTGGTGGAACAATTCACCAAGAAACTGAGACAGCAATATTAAGTAATGGTTTACCTAGATTGTCCAGCAAATAAGAACAGCTTTCTAAATTATATTTCAACAGTATGAAATTTGCCAGTACTACACCCCTGTACCGTACATGGTATTAGAGTTGGGTTAGTAAATATACACGATGGTTTATTAAAAAATTCAGGAGTATAATTACATAAATGAAAAATAGTATATACTGTACCTGTATAATAAATCTGTTCAAATGTGTCAACAACTAGTATCTTTTACTGTGTACAGTACTCAAGCACTGAAGGGATCCCGCTCATGTACAGTACAGTACTGTACTGTACTGTACGTACTCATGTGGTGTAGATGAAATAAAGCAATGGCGCTTGTTTTAAACTCAACACCAGAAGTTATTTATTAATGAACATCTTCATGTGTTAATCTGGTGGTTCTGTAAGCAAGGCTTCTTGTGACACTGTTGATGGTTGTTACTTATAATCTTCTGTTTGTGACTGAAATCACCCAATTTTGCTGAATAAATCATGACATGTATCCCATCATGAAAATATTGAGTGGTGTCAAAAATCCAGTGATCTTAGTCGCCAAGTGATTGGGTCTACAGTACTTGTCCAGCCTAATCATTACCTGATTTCTTGTTCAGGCAATGCAAACAGTGTTACTGTAATGGGTCGAGTTCCACATGTTGAAAGAATATACTTCACCAACTAGAGGAAAGAATGTTTTCAAACAAATTGTGGTTATTACAGTTAGCAATCAGTGTCACCCAATATTCTGAGAGCAATATCAGGTACAGTACTGAGTTTTGTTTGAACATGACCCTCATAGCATTATTACTTCTAGTGTTTAAATACTGGTATTGTACCTGCATTGTTTGTAAACCTGCAAGACCAATATGAATTTTACTGAATAAAACTACTATCTATCTACTGTATTGTGAAACATTACTTGTTAAATTACATTAAAGTGTGTAATATTAAAATCCTGTACTTACTAGTTAACCAGACCTAAGAAAACATCTTTATTCATCTGTGACATGAGCCCACTACCTCTTACTTTATACTGTCTAAGGGATATACCTGTACTAAACAAGGGCGAAGGGAAAATTACATCACGTCAAAATGAATTATTATCACTAATGTCAAAATTTTAACAATAATGTACAGTACAGTAATATATAAACAAAATACTGTACAGTACTGTATTATGAAAACAGATATTTACCTAGTTTACCAAACAACCATCCCAACTAACGAGATATGTGACTAGTATTGTCGGTTGAGAACATTGCATTAAGAACACTGTTGTAGTTGCAGGGACGGATCCAGGAATATCAAAGGGGGGATCCAAGAAGTTGTGGATGGGGGAACACATGAGCTCACCCAGCTGGTTTTTGTTTTGGTGGGGGGGGCACCCATTTTTTTAAATACCTGTATTATCAATATCATGGGAAATATGAGGCCATTTTGAAGCCATGGACACTTGATATTAGGGGATATTCTGAGGTCAATAGTAAGTACTTTTTACTATACAAAAAACGCTTGAGTACAATACTGGATTAAAGAAAAGGTATTGGAATTTTCAGATGAAAAGGGGGGCTCTGGACCCCCCCCCCCTGGATCCGGCCCTGAGTTGACACTGGGTGCAGGTAGGGTACAAAATACGGTACAGTATATGTTCGGGTTGCTTTAACATACAGTACTGTCTATACTAGCATTAGTGTGAAGACATGATGTGAAATAAATAGTGTACAATAGACGAGGTCCAGTACTCAGGACATATAAGAAGTCTGACAGTGTACAGTATATTTCAACTTAGATACTTTTGGTCATGCTGTTTCCTGATTTAACTTATTCTGCTTAGGCAAAAGTATGTGGAGATAAAGATAAACGATACAGTATGTTTGTGACAGCCATTTTCTTTCACTTACACTATAACACGGCACTACAGTGCTTTAAAAATCTTCACCTTCCCTTAGTTACTTAATTGTCTTCTAGATCATAAACCTGCTTTATCGTAAGGGATCCCCCATGAATCATGAATTAGCAAATCCTCGTAGATTTAGAACAATACATTGGAGGATTTTGACTGAACACGCAAATAGATAAGCCAGTTACTACCTCCAGAGAGGAGAAAGGCTGTGTCAAGACCTAAACTTTGCCATCAATAAATATCACTATGCTAAGACCAGTAAATTGTCAAGCGGTATTAAGGGAGTCTATTGTCAGAACTTCCAGAGTAATCTAATGTTGATAGTTCGAAAATAATTATATTTTATGGCTTTTGACACGATAAATGGACATTGAGGGCCAAAACCATTACTGACAGAACGTTTACTTAGAACTCTGTCTACCCAACTTGACAAGTGCTGAAGAGAATTCTGTAGCGTGTAATTTATGAGTGCACATTCTATACTGTTGTTCTTATGATCTCTTCATAACCAGGTATCCAAGTAATAATATTCGGCCCTTACTTCAATGAACTTAGAAAACCAGGTATCAAGGTGACCTGGTTTAACTTGTAACTTAGTGACCCTTAAGCAGGTACAAATTTCACCTGGCCCATTCCTCGCCAGACGACCCTACATCTCATTAAGGCACCACATTGTAGAGTTCATTGCCAAACACAGGAGAATTTTTAAGACTCTCCCCGATACAAAATGACCTTGATAAACAATCTGGCTAAAACATGAGCACTTCCGCCTAGTGCACGGGTTCTGAGTAGAGGAAGATGGAGAAAACAATCCCCAAGAAACAAACAAATATTGGCCAAGGGAAGTGATTTAATGCAAGATGTGGGGGACTTAGTTATTATATTATTTCTACGAGTTTTTCGCACAGTTGTACAAACAACAGCAGGAGCACTGTATAAGACTCGAGGTTACAACGCTCAAGGTTGGTGGTTTCCTAACACAACTTAACGGGGGTAATCGTCCGGCTAGCGCAAAAGATTCAAATGCACATGAGGTGGCACTTAGTGTCACGTGACTCAACCTACACGACTTATGATCGGTGGGGGCGAGTCTTCTATGTACAGCCCACACGTGACTACCCTTGCCCACCATCCCTGCCCAACTCTGTTACCAAACAACACTTACGCAACGGCACTGAAGATTTGGCTTTCCCAAACGGTAAATCCTACTAATATCTTATATCTAACTGTACCTTCTCCATTCTATCATAAAAAAGCTTACTAAACGCATATAGGTTAAAACACAACATATAAAACTTTATATAAATCTATGCTATACTTAAGTAATGATAATGTAATTTTTCTTTACCCTTTCCTAAATTCTGTCTATTCTTTATTGTTATAACCTCTTCTACTACTGTACATGAGAACTTTTTTGTCTTCCATTCCCCTTCCTTATTCTCAGTGTCTACGTACACTCCCTGACACGTTTATCTGTTACACGGAACATTAACTTCTAGCGGTGTGCGAGGACTATCAGGCTTCGTGAAGGCTGTGTTAAGTAACAGTCACCCGGTGGACCTCCTGGCACATACTGTAACCTGTACTGTATTTCCGTCTTATATCTTTGCTTCCCACACACAGTATTATCTTTAATTTATCTTGCTTTAAACAGAAAAAGCTGGCCGAAAACTACCGTAAAATAAACTTTGTACAGGTACTGTATATTTCACCCCTATTAGCAACCCTGATATATGGATAAAATTAACAACATTTGATATCTGCTCTGTAGTAGGTCTTGACATGTGAACAGAAGAGAAAAATGTCTTTTACGAACTGTGATTTTCTCAGCTAGCGACGTTGTTCTCATTCTCTTTAATCATATACATTGCAGTGCAGAATTGTACCCAATCCTAGAGGCTGATGGACGTAAACCTGACACAAATTAGTCCTTCGAAGCTACTGAAGTTATAGTAAAAGTTTAGAAGAAATCTAACTTCAGAAACATCTTTACGAGATTACAAGCTTAGTAGGACCTGACGGCTTTTGCTACCGCCTCCCCTTCCTCAACCCCTCTGGCAGTGTGATAATATCTGGCATTTGTACTCATGAAGCCCCTGACGGAGGCTCCTAGGGCAGGGGAACTCGAGTCGCTCCCCAGGAAACCTGTCAAGGTCACTATCTTACTGACAACAACACCCAACACAAATATGTTCCCCTATTTAATGGGTTCAAGACGATGTGACGTGACGTAATTCAATACATTCTTCCTATACACACTGTTGATAGCATCTGATGAAGACCTAGAACCCCGCTTATTTCACCTGATGATTAGACCTCTTAATGTTAACCAACCTAATCTAAACTAATCTAAATTGTCCAAACCCAACCCCTATTTAGCGCAAGGGTGTTTAATCATCAGCTGAAATAAGCGGGAGTTCCTATTCTTCACGAGATCCCTATTGATGCACTCTTATCAAATTATATATTCTTGTCTGTTATTGTACTGTATCTGTAATGCTGTCGCTGTCTGTAAAATAAGATGGTGGGAATTAAATTTATCTTATTTATGGACTTGATCAGTTACCACACTTACACCACAACAGTAGGACTTACCACACTTACACAACAGTAGGGCTTACCACACTTACACCACAACAGTAGGACTTACCACACTTACACTACAACAGAAAGCCTTATCACACTTACACCACAACAGTAGGGCTTACCACACTTACACCACAACAGTAGGACTTACCACACTTACACTACAACAGAAAGCCTTACCACACTTACACCACAACAGTAGAGCTTACCACACTTACACCACAACAGTAGGACTTACCACACTTACACTACAACAGAAAGCCTTACCACACTTACACCACAACAGTAGGACTTATCACACTTATACCACAACAGTAGGCCTTACCACACTTACACCACAACAGTAGAGCTTACCACACTTACACCACAACAGTAGGACTTATCACACTTATACCACAACAATAGGACTTACCACACATAGTGAGACTGGACGTTATAGCAGTAGCGGAAGTGAATCGGCAAATAGCACTTACCACGAGCGCCTCCCCAGCCTGGGTGCCCACGAGAGGCGGTTGAGGGCTAAGGGCAGCAGTGGCCATGATGTACGCCGCCACTAGTGAGCCAAAAGCGCCCAGCATCAGCAGCTGCCACCTTCGTATCCTGGGCAGCATCAGTGTCACTAACGCCGCCAGCGGGTTGGCCAGGGATGATAACGTCACTGCTAGGTGGTAGGCCGTGTTACCGTAGGCGCCACAGGAGTAGGATTGTATGGATGGCAGGACGCCGTTGGTGAGGCAGCAGGCCCAAGCTTGGCCCACCAGCATGAGCCAGTACGCCCGAGAGGTCATGCCAGGGTCATGTTTACTGGATGCCACATTCTCCATCAACCGCGTGTTGGAGTGGGAAGCTTCCAGCGCCGCTACACTATCAGTAGGCGAGGGCGAGGTAGTCCGCTCGCTCTTGATGTTGGGCAAATGTTCCAGGAAGGTGAAGGCTAAGGCGCTCGCGATCATCATGGACAATAGGATGTAAAAGAAAGATGTGACGCTGAATCTTGGGTGGAGTGGCACAGGTTGTAAGATATAGTCGGTGTCGTAGTCATTAGTGGCGTTTGGTACGGTCACGTTTTCACACTCGACGTTACCTCCGACGCCCTGAGCCAGAGCCACCAACGCCGGCAGCAGTCCAGACATTCCCTCACCTACCAGATAGGAGGCGAGGTAGATTTCCCGCCATACAGCCATGTAGGGCATGAAGAGCACTGACGAGGTGCAGTCCACAAGAGACAGCAGGAACACGAGGGCGAGTAGTGCTGTAGAGTGTTTCGTCCCGCCCAACATCGACGTCTTCTGCCATAGCAGCGACAACAGGAGGGAGGCGATGCACCCCACAGCCAACACTCCGTACACCACAGGCGCCGGACGTTGTCTTGGCCGCACAGAGCTCAACACCGAGTACGCTATGGGGCCAACGTTGGCGATCTGCAGCAAGAGGAGGTGTTAAAACTGGAGATTTATTACACAAAGTGGTAGTGTTATTTATGGTGATTTCAGTTAAGAACAAGAGTGCTAGTACTGGTTACCTGAGGCTCAATAAGAACTTTGTAATATTGTCAATTGAAGGTAACCAAAGTCAGAAAGGAAGGGACGATTAAACGAGCTTCCAGTTTTACGAGGCCCAAACTTAACATCAACATGAGGACTGGTGGGGTCTAATTGGATTGGTATCTCCTAAAACCATCGCCCATTAGGATCAGCGTCTACTGAAGCTGGGGACCATTTAGACCAAGGTCTATAGACCTTGCTTTAGACTGGATCGCAATTCCAACGGAGGATTAAATTAGTTTTGGGGCAGAGTGGCCAGTTACCATTTTACGTTATGGAGATGAGTAAAAGTACTCCTGAACCCATGTACGCCTAGGCATTCTAACGAAATTAAGAGTGTGGAAGGTACCTGGATGATGACGGAGAGGTAGGAGGGCAGGTTCCAGCCCTCAGGGAGGGCATCCACTAGCAGCGGCAGCTCTACCCATAGTCCATTGATAGCCACCCAAGCTCCAACACCGAACAGCGCCGCTAACACGTCCACCAGGGGCTTACGACCCACCATGATGGACCTCAGGCTCCTCCAGAGGGTGGTGTTCCTGCTCCTCCTGGTAGTGGTGGTCCAAGGGCTCAGTAAGGATTCTTGTTCCTCTTGAAACATCATACAAATTCTTAGTTTATATTCTCTCGTAATTCTGACAGGATGTTTGCTCCAGGGAACTGAGAAATGAAACTTAAAAAACTCTTTAAGGTCTACTGATGGTGTACATCAACCAAAGAACAATGTGTAGAAAAAACTCGCAATTTTCTTATAACACCAAGAAATCTCATTAATTTCTAAAAAAATAAAGCTTGAAAAGTATTCAAATACACAATAAATACTGTATACATGAACGATACTTAACGAGAATTTCGTGTGTCTTTAACAGATTACTGACAGGAGGCACAATTACTGCACTCGGTTCTACACAATTTTTTTACAGAATTGTCTGGTGCGTCATTCCGGATCAAGAGACATTATCCAACAGCAATGATTTACACTTATTACAACACATTTTTGCTTTGTTGTACATTACGCTACACACCAGATATATTTTATATATCTGAAATTATATAATTATAGAACATGGGTAAAGGCTCCACCTTTAACACTACCGATGCTGTATACTGGCCTCCTCCAACACCCAGATACAATAAGGTTATGGCTGGTACATTTACCAGACAACAGCAACAACACCTACCAGGCACGAAATCATATAAAGCCGCATCAGCAAATGTGATTTATGGCAGCTACCAGCGGGTATGTAAACAAAGTCGCCAGGTAAGGATCCTCTTCCAGTAAGAGTTGCTATCAATGTCACTCTACCAACGCTACCGAAATCTTTATTAAAATGTACTGTTTAATGCAATTATATTAAAACCTCCACCTCCTATGTTTAAGGAATCCTACGTAACATTGTGGGAAAGACTCTTGACAACGATCCCCTCGAGAATTCGCTGCTTCGCATAACACTTAGTATACACCTCATCACCACGGCTGAGCATCGTGTCACTCCTCTCACCCCTTCCTCCCTCTCTCCCTCTCTCTCCCTCCCATCGCTACAGTAACCGAACCTAAAACTCGTATCACCTCCAGCTTATTTCATCTGATGATTTAAACACTGAAAGACTAACCTAACCTAAACCCCTAGGCAGCGCTACGGGGTGAATCATCGTGTGATGTTCAACGTTTAACTCTGCCACATAATTTCCGTTCGTTGTTTTACCTAGTATCATTATACTGGACTGACGTCATAACGGAAGCCAAACCCTAAAGCAAATGATACTTGAGGAAATGTTGTATCCAAGGCCAGAAAACATACCTGTCACCTGAACACACACACACACACGCATACATTAAACACAAAGACAGGTACCCATGACAACATATCGACGTGCCTTCATCCGCTACGTTACAAGTACAACTACGTATACTGTACTACTGGAATTCTCCTTGACTAGGTTAGACAAAGTGAGAGGACCACGTGAAGATTAGGCACCCCAGATTATTTCACCTGATGATTAAACACCCTAACGCCACCTAGCATAATAGCAAAGTAAACTAATCTAACCTAGCCTAATCTTAAGCTAACCTAATCTGACTTAATACTACAAGGTGGCGTTCGGGTGTGGTCATGTTGACGTGCTTCCTGGAGCTCACCCTTGAAATTTTAGACCTTCAAGGGTGAGTGAGTGGCGTCACTGGAAGAAGGGGGGGGGGTGAATGTCACAGGGAAGGAGAGGAAAGTGTATTTTAGAGGAGAAATGAGGTGTGTAAAGGATAAAGGTGTACAATATATCAGAGAGGAGGAATTACTTTTACTTTTACCCTTCTCCTCTTCGCCACTGATCGACTCGTTAGCCGCTTGGGCGGTCGGTCACGTCTCTGTTACGCACTGTTGCCTTGGCTCCTGAATGAAGGGGTGTACGTTTGAAAACAGATGGGTGGGAGAGGTGACTTCGTTTGGGGCGAGGGATGGCTAGGCTTAAGTGGGAGAGGGGGGGGGGGGATATACAGTCTGTGAGGTGGGAGGGAGGGACAACAGTTTTCCTCACTCACACAAGTTCACAACCTCCACTAGTGCACCACAGTTACCACGTAGAGTTTCTTATCTCCGCTGATGACGTGAAGAAGTCCAATAGTAGCACCCGAGAGAATTCATACTACTCCTACAACGCGGCTCATGTTTCATATAACACTTAAATCACTGTACCATATTGCTATACATTTATATTCTGAGTTATGGAACAACACTGTATGATAATATCACTATCTAAAACGGTCACTTTTCACTTGGAATTAATAAGGGATTGCAGCTATTGATCCACAAAGTACCTACATACAGTACGCTTCTTAACCACCTCTATGTGTGGATGTACAGTAGTAACAACAGATTTTCTCAAGACGATAGACAGAGAGAGGAACGTAAACACGTCACTCACCATAGTAGCCGTTACTCAAAAGCTACAATTGTCGTACCTCCGTCACACTATCTCCCGCCTGAGGTGCCGATCACTGTTCATTCACCTTATTCCACAATTCACAATCGGGACATCTCCTGGCTGTTAAATACTTCCGGAGATTTTGGGGGTCAGTTCACAGAGGGACGTAAAATTACTGGCGTTGTTGAGAGTAAAGTGATAATAAGAAACTTACGTTCACTAACTGACCTCGTACTAAGGTCGGTGCCGGAGCTGCCAGGTCGTGATTTCGTCATTGAGATGATGATAATACTAGTACTAGGGGGTGTTTCTTTAAGCCCTTGTGTACGGGTCCCTCTATGCTGAATATTATCGTCTGGCCTTTCCCAAATAAAGTATTAAAAGAGGCTTCCCGTAGTAAAGGGAATAGTCGAAATAATGTACTAGTATCATCTTTTAAAATTGTGTTGAGAGAGAGAGCCTTTTTGACACATGTTGCGGTAAATTATGAATACAGGTAAAGGCCAACAACTAACCACAAACGAGCGTGTTTGTGTGGGTAACCCTACTTTCCTCCTGGGTGAGAGACCCATAGGCCTGACTGACGACGGGAGGTTAAAGCGCACACCTAACACTGAGCCTTATTCTTATCATTATTATCGTTATTATTGTTATCATCATCATCACCATTATTATTATCATCAATATTATTGTTACTACTATTTTATTAGCATTATCATCAGTATATTATTACCGGTATTATTATTATTATTTTCATCTGGTACATTTCCAACATTCACCAACAACTGGTTTACGAGGCCTTAACCTCAGCTGGCCTAGTATCATAGGAGTGTGGAGTGATAAATTGACACTCCCCAGAGACACGTGTGCACCATTACGCAGGTGTAGACACTGGTGTATATATACACACACACACACACACACTGATCGTCTTCTCTCAACTCTACCCAACAACGTCAGCTGGAGAAGGTACACAAAAGGGCCTGCAGAATATTTAACCTAACCTAACCTGACCTACAACACACGACCCCTGGTATGGCATTTGGCATGTTAGTGGCAGATGTGGCAATCCTTGATGAGTTCTATATACAGTGTGTACTGTACGAGTATAACATGTGTTCTTAGGAGTAGTGGAGGGTACACACACACACACACACACACACACACACACACACACACACACACACGGCCAAACACGATACTTATACACGTACACGTATACACTCATATGTACTTATCTAGATACATTTTTATTCTCAGGAGACGCAGATGCAGCTATAATTATACACCTCTATTCATCCATCCATATTCCCCCCACACATAAATACACACACACACAAACAAACACACACACTGAAAGAAAGATAAATTGTTTAAGGACAGTATCGTGTAGGAGAGAGAGCAGTCGTCATAATTATTTTCTATTCTCGTATTTCAGTAATTTATCGCCTAATTGACATCATATAATTATGAAGTTTTGACAGTATTATCCACTAGAGCTCTTTCTCCCCACACAGCCACTGTTATATTCTCTTTCGTTATATATCCCTCTATTTACTGATAATGCACAGAAATACTCAAGCGTGGAATGTTGGAATCAGTTGCACATTAGCCCCCATCCAGTTTATTTCACCCTACGCTACTTAGGTTCGGTTAGATTAGAGTGTTAATCTTAAAGTGAAATAACTTAAGATAATCAGACTGTTACCTGTCTTACACAAGCGTCTCTAATACTATATAAATAATGTGTGTAAAATGGTTCAATCAGTACACCCAGTGACTCTATCCCGTGTACTGGTGCCTCGCTGCCAACACTCTTTCTGTGTCATGGGGGGAGTGGTGTAGGTAAATGGGTGGATGTGTAGGTGTATGGGTGTGTTTGTGTGTGTATGGAAGAGAAGGTTTTGTGTAAGTGATGATGAATAGAGGCGTGTGTGTGTGTTTGCGCAAGAACATAAGCTACTTCTCCTGTTGGCGACAAGAGTTAGCTGATGTTACGTCGTCTGCGTGAGCTTGCAGACGACGGATGCCAACGTGGCCCTCACCCAGCTGATCTGGCACCCCCCCACCCTGACACACACACACACACACGCACACACACACTGATGCAATCCTCTACACACACACACACACGCTGATGCAATCCTCTACACACACACACGCACACACAAACTTCTACTACTTATTACTTTGCTGCCACTCGGAATGACAGCAAAGATTAGAAATAGCACATATACTCGTACGTAATTTGTGTGTGTGTGTGTGTGTGTGGCTGTGTACGAGAGAGAGAGAGAGAGTACAGGAGTTAAGGGAAGTATGCAACGTCACAACTTCCGTGCTCCCGAGTAAAAAGATAAACACACATACCCCCGCTACAGGTAGGGCCGGGGCTGGTGTCTACATCTCCCGTCCTCATGCCCCTGAGCCTATCAAACTGTCTCTCAGAGTTTTTGACGGGGCATCCTCCACTCAGGCTGAACTAATAGCCCTCCTTGCTGCCCTTCTCGCTGAGGAAGAAGCTGATGGTTTCTGCCCCTTGCTTGTCTGCTGCGATTACAGGTCTGCTCTCGACGGGATCGCATTTGGATCAGGGGAAAATAAGGACTTCATCCTCCGAATGCGAGGGTTAACATCCACACTTCAGGATGCAGGCCGTCCTGTGACATT